GAGGGAGCGCCTAGCGCAGACGGAGGCCCCCAGCCAGGAGACCACGCAAGTAGCAAGCAAAGGCAACTGGGGAGAACACAGGGAACGAACAGGCATCTGCAGACACGGGCCGGGGTTCAAACCCAAACCGGACCATCGCCCCCCTGGGAAAATCACCACTATCACACAGCAAATCCCACAGGGGCAAATGCTACGTGGGTAAATCGAAAAAAACAAGAGCAGCCCCCCTCCAACCAGGGAGAACACTATCCAGCCCAAAGACGTGGAACGTCAGAAAGACAGCCATGCCCAACGGGGGTGCAGGAGAACACACCTCGACCACGTAGGGAGAGCGGGTACGCAGAGCCCGACACCACATACGAGCCTCGCCCTGGGCACTCGACCAACCACCATGGGGAAGCATGGGATCCCCCCCAACACATTACCCGCCAAAACAGCTCCCCCCAACAGGACTTCAACTTCACACCGACGTGGACGCCGACCCCCTTGAACAAAGACCAGCTCAAAGAGGAAAGAGCTCTTCGAGGAGGGAGGAAAAGGAACCTCATCATCCACGGAATAGCGAAAAGAGGGAAAGAACTGGAAAGGGATATGTCCAGAATCATGTACAGGGCCACGGGCATTTGCCCCCTCTTCCAAGAGCTCAGGATGCTGGGAAGAGGCAGGCTGGTAATGAAGCTGGAAACATTAAGAGACAAACTGGATATCTTAGACAGCAGCTCGAAACTGGCGGAGTTTGGCATCACGATAGAAAACGACCTCACCAGGAGGGAGCAGGCAATACAAGACTGGCTAACAGGGGAGGCCAGAATCCTGGAGAGCAGAGGCATCAATACAGAGACGGGGTACCAACGCCTCAGAGTGCATGATAGGTGGTGGAGGTGGAGTGAAAATGAAAACCAACTGGTCCCAATGTCCTCCAAGAAAAACCGGGCAAGAAGCGCACGCCAACAAGAGGTGCACTCATCCAACAGGAGACGAGGGAATCAGAGGGAGTGTCGGTAGCAACGACCCTCTCCAGCCCGAAATATGCGTAGTCTCCTGGAATATTGATGGAAGCAGCAAGATAAAGGCACACTGGTCCTTTCTCAAACGTTTTGACGTAATAGCCGTACAAGAGCCCCACCTGGAGAAGAAAAACGAGGACAAGTTCCTCAAGCAATTAGACCCAAACTTCATATGGAAGGTCCACGCAGCTGTTAGATCAAGAAAAAAAGGCAAGGCGAGAGGTGGCAACTTGCTAGGGGTCAGGAAGGGTCGGGTCGATGAAGTTTCAATTACAGAGTGGGAATATGGACTCAGGCTAAAAGGACTCAGGACGTTGGACGGCAAGCCGCTGACCCTTATCGAGGCCTACAACAATAATAGAACTCCGCACTTCACTCAGAAACTTCATTCGGTCACTGAGGATGCGGAGGACGAAGGGGGAGTTCTGATTATTGGGGACCTCAATGCGCGGGTAAGAGACAAACAGTGCAGCAGTGATGCAGTAGAGGAGGTAGGGCTCAGCTGGGAAAGAGTCTCGGAAGACAAGGGAACCAACCAGGAAGGAGATCGTATCCTCGACTTCGGAGGCAAGCACAACCTCATAATTCTCAACGGCGCAGTGGAGGGGGACAGATATGGGAGAGCCACATTTCTTGGTGGGGCTGACTCAGTGCTCGATTTGGCATTGATCAGTGCGACGGAGGTGAACACGACAGTCAGGGAGTTGAAGGTAGTCCCTAGGCTAGGGTCGGACCATCTCCCGGTGGTACTCGCCCTAAACCTCAAAAAGCAAGCCGGAGGCCCCCCTCCGACCGCCATGCCCTCGACACAACTGAGGCAGGAGCGGATGGTCTGGAAGCCGGAGCAAGAGGAAAGGTACCAAAAATTAATCACGGACAAGCTACAGAACGCAGCTTCCGGGAATGACCCAAAGGAGGGCTGGAACAGATTAACAAGCACAATCTGGGAGGTAGCCCGGGAATGCGACATGGTAAGGAAGGGGACAGAGAAAGAGGCATGGGGGGAAGCATGGATGGACGAGGAGTACAGACATTTAAGGGGGGCAACCTTCCAAGCTCTCAAAATCCACCTGCGAGACAGGACAGACGCCCAGCGCAGAGAGAATTGGCAACGCCTGAGAAACGAGCTAGCAGCCCTGAAGGGCGAGAAAATCGCAGAAAATAACAGACGTAAATGGGAAAAGCTGGAGGCAAGCAGGAATATGCAGGAGCTCTGGGAATCCCTGAACGTGTTCAGGCCAAGGAGGACAAGAGCGAGGAATGTCATCACTGATGCAGAGTGGACCAACCACTTCGCGAACCTACTGAATTCTACACCTGAGAGCAGGGTAGAGAACCCAGGCCCCACGGCGAACACAGTCGACGAATCTGGAGCACGACAGGCGTCCAGCCCCGTACAGACAAAGGAGGACACCCCTGACGAGGACTGGTGGAACGGAGACATAACTAGCCTCGAAGTGGAAGAAGCCCTCAGAGGGATGAAGAATGGCAAAGCACCAGGCGAGGACGGAATCCCAGCCAAGTTCCTGAAGGCGTTGCCCCCAGAGGGAAAAGCTGTACTCCTGCAGGTCCTCAAGGAATGCTGGAAGCAGATTAAGCTGCCAGAAGGCTGGGAAACAGCGCTCATTTGCCCCATTTTTAAGGCAGGTGAACCTGACAAGGCCGCAAACTACCGGGGTATCTCTCTCCTCGATCTCGGCTACAAGCTGATGACCAAAATCATGGCCAACAGAGTGGCCCAATGGGCGGAGGAGTCGGGAAACCTGAGTGAAAGCCAGGCAGGGTTCAGAAGAGACCGAAGCACCCGGGACCACATTTTCACCCTCAACACGCTGGCAGGCATAAGCCTGACGCGACCGAGACAGAGATTGTACACAGCGTTCATCGACTACCGTGCTGCATTCGACCTGGTGGACCGCACCCTCCTGCTAGAGAAGCTGAAGGCAAAAGGTCTCTCGGGCAGGCTTATCGACATGGCGGAACTAATATACAAGAACACCAAGAATCGAGTCATGACGGGACGAGGAATGACAGACAGTTTCACCTCCAACTGCGGAGTAAGACAAGGCTGTCCCCTAAGCCCAGTGCTCTTCTGCCTTTTCCTGGAGGATCTGGACCAGGCATTGGAAAGAGGAAGCACAGGAGGAGTAGTATTGGGGGGAGAAAAAATCACCAACCTCAGGTTCGCCGATGACGTGGCCATGGTGGCACAAACCCCGGAAGATCTTCGAGATATGCTAGCATCCCTGGAAAGGCATGCCAAGAAAAACAAGCTGACCATCAACGAGTCCAAATCGAAGATCACGGTGTTCCGCAACGGGGGGAAACTGGGAAAAAAGGAATCCTGGACCCTTAACGGTAAAAAGGTAGAAGTAGTGAATAACTTCAAATACCTTGGATACTGGTTTACCCCACGAGGATCCTTCGCAACACACACGAAACGCCTAGCAAGTAAGGCGAAACTAGCATCCAACGCGGCGTGGGGCATCACCAAAAGGGCCAGAATCAGCTCCCTGCATAGGAGGCTTTATGTACTCGACGTCCTGGCGAAATCAGGGGGTTTGTATGGCGTGGAACTCTGGGGGTGGTCGCAGAGCGAGGAGATGAGAAGAATGCAGAGCCGGTATATAAAAATGGCTATGGGTCTTGCCCCAAACACCCCAGGTTATATATGGCGGATGGAATCTGGCAGGAGGAGTATAGACATCGAGGGGCGCATGAGAGCGTTTAAGTACGTAGTGGACATCCTCAAAATGGACCAGGGTTGCTGGCCAGCCAAAAGCCTAAGGGAAGAGGTAAGAGCCATACTAAACGACAACCCATGCAGGTTGGGAAAGCTGATAAAGAAGGCCTTCGAGGAGGTGGGAGACGGCCAAACCCTGAGGTCCCTCTGGGAAGGAGAAGACTATGGAACCATAGGGGAAGCGCTGGAGAAAAATCTAAAAACTAAGACGGAGCAGGAGATTCAACTAGACTGGGGAAAGATAGACGCCTCCAGATACTGCCCAGGCTTCCAATTTTTGGTGGACGAGATCACTGGTGCAAAGTACTGGAACAAAAAATCTATAAAAGGCAGCCAGAAGGAGCAATGGGCGCGTCTGAGATGTGGGAATATTGGCAGGACGGCAGAGAGGGGCTACAAGGACCCTAGATGCAGACTGTGCGGCCAACAAGAGGAAAACCTGGCACACATGCTCACCTGCGAACAAGCGTGGCTCCAGCTACCCCAACCGACTGTCACCAAGACCGCAGAGTGGCTCAGGGACTGTCCTCCCACTATATCGCTGAACCGTTGGGTAGGGGAGGCACTGAAGGGCGAGCCGTTGGACGGGATGTGCAAATATGTTCGGGATTTCGAACGGAAAGCAACAGGGGACACAACCCTGGGAATGGAGAAGCCAGAGAGCTAACAGGGACACCCCAACAACAACTCCTCATCCTCTCCACATCAAACACAAATTAACGCACACCACAGAGTATTTCGTGCGGTTGTAATATATCTTTCCGGGTCCCGACCCCAAATTTTGTTATTCCTTTCTTAAAGTTTACTTTTAAAAAAGCAAAATTCCGGCAATCTACGTGCGCAATCATCCTTCTCGGGCGCAATGAAAGTAATGTTCAACGTAGGTAAATAACTGGAAATTCCAAAGACATGCAATGTAACTATCTGTGTTTCTCTGTAAAAGGCCCTGGGCCATACATCGAAAGATAAAGTATTATTATTATTATTATCATCAATAAATTAGAAAGATCCATAATCATTAATTAATTTAACTCTCGCCTCGCCAATCGTGAGACTTCTCATCTCGAATTTGAACATGAAATCCTTCTAAATATATCAAATTTGAGATAAATGGTATGTCGCGACTCATATAGAAGTAGAAATTAATGTGGTATTTTTTTTTTCAAAATACAATTTCATTTCTTTATAACGAATACATTCCATACTCAATCTTACAAGTCTTAGAAAACACAAATCGTTGAAAAAGTTGTCAAATACATCTTTATTGTAGCAAATAATTCTTGATTTCGTTCAACAGCATTGAACCTATGACCATTTTTTCACAGTTGATGCATATCTCCAATTCGTGACAATCCAGGAATTTTATTGTCACTAAAGTCAGAGATTTAGATGTCAAGGTGTTACCAGCGAATCTGTAACAAAATACAACGATATTTTATATCGTCTCATTAGTAACATTTGCACTTTTGCTTAATGCTAAGAGAAAGATAACTATTAAAAGCATTTGAAAAAACAGCGCACAAACATATTGATTGATTAGAATTGATGTTCTATTGATTGAACATCCATTGAAAACTGGATATAATTATGAAGCATCTTTAGCCTATCATTATCCCAATTATGAATGATTTATGCTTTCGAGAATTTACATAAATTGTACATAAATAGTATTTTGTTAATTACCTCATTGTGTCATTTTCATTTGAAATCATAGAAAGATTGGCGGACTCATAAACTTTCTGTAACAGATCCTTTTTCGTCCCCGAAAACTTGATTTTGGATGTATGTTCATTCATCCCCTTTAACTTTTCTTTCTCAGTTACAAACATACTTTCTGGCAATTGCACAGCCCTAATCATTTCTCCAATTGGTGCCTTCAGACTGACAGGAACTGAATGAGTTTCAGCACCTATGGTAAATTCAATATTGAAGTTTGCAGGCTGCATAGAATCATTGAAATTTACTCCAAGTACAGAAGAGAAATTCGTATTAGGTTGCAGCATGGCGACAGCCGAAAAGTCATGAATGGACATTCCAGAAGATAAAGTTTTATTTTGAATATGAACGTTTTTGATGGTATCATTACCACTATTGGTGAAAATCAACTCAATAGTGGTGAGATTTGAGCTAGCAAGATGTTGGGATCGAGTAAATCTCGAATCTACTTGCAAGCCCTTCCCTGTAATTTTATTCACTATTTCTGTTCTTGCGACTGGTACGAAAGTAGCTGAAACCTCTCTGATTCCACTAACATTGCCTAATGTAAGATTCATCGGAGTCAGGAAGCCTCCAAGACTCGGAGTCATCACGGGTGTCATGGGCACAATATCATCAAGTTCCAGAAGTAAATCTAAATTATTTTTCGTTTTTTCTTTGATTATCTCTTTCTTAACATTATCCATATACTTTTCGGACTTAGGTTGCTTCTTTATTTCCACTTCACTCTCAGAGGACTCAGTTTCCCCAGAATCTCCAGAGTCACTACCTGATTCGCTCTCAGATGATTGAGACTGGACATTGCCTTTTCTTGCCGACTCGCTCTCCGATTTTTCCGAGTCTGAGCTGTACTCTGAAGAATCCGAGTCTGAATCCTCTGAGGAACTACTCGAAGTAGTTTCAGAGGATGCTTTTGATCCAGTTGGAGAACTCTCTTCATCACTGTAGAAAGTGTTTTCTTTAATTTTCTTTTCTCTCTTCTCTTTTCGCCCATGACGTTTTTCTCTGGGTCGCTGGATTAGAATCGGCTCTGCTACATCGCGCACTGATGGATCTGGAGCGGTTTCTGGGTAATCTGACAAATGTTTATAGCCTGTACAAGGCATATCCAAGTAGTGAGAGAGTGTTCCCAATTGATACTGAGAACCTTTAACTCTTGATGTCAATGTTGGCGCTGGTTTTGGTGCGAAGAAAATTTTTTTCGCGTACTCTGCAAGTTTTTTATCAGCAGCATTAACTTCCTCCTCAAGTATAAACGCGCGTAAGAACCTAGCTCTGTCCCTGATATCATAATTTTGATCGTACTTGGCTAGTTGGAATACATAATGACAGAACAGTTTCGTTTGTTCAGGATTATTGAGGCACAGTTTTACAGCAAGATTAAGAGTTTGAAGTTTTACGATGTCTTTCTCATTTACAAAGCTTTTTGCCATTTTACGGAGAACATCGGGGGCAATTTTTGGCACTCTATCTGAGTATTCACCGAGAAGCCAGAGAATGGAGGCACGCGCCTGTGGAACGGTGATAAAATCCATTAATTTCGCCATATGGACTATTATCTCTTTGTGCTCATTGGGCTGAGTCTGTAACAGCTTCTTTATTACGACTACACTCTCGGCCACCACCACTTCTATAAAGTTGCAAAAAACAAACATTATAATTACATTGTCTACAATTTTGCTGAGGAGCATGATAGTTTAATAGAATCGGTGTATAGTCTAAGCAATGAGATAATAATAAATAGGACAAGTCTGAGTGAAATTCATCACTACTATTTACTGTAGAAAACATTATCTGCATTAAGTGATAAGATATGATGATTATATACATTATATATTATCATTGATATACCCTTTAAAAAATAAATGCATAAAATTTCATCATTCTTAATTGACTAAAAAGGCATAATCCTTGCTAATATCCTCCTTAGTCTTGTTCGTTTAAAGTTGATTGAAAAAATGTGGGTATTTTGTATAATAAGTTTATACGGAACTACGTAAATGCTTTTGTTTTGTGTCGAAGAGAAATGTGCAAAAACTTGTGGGAAAAGAGTATATAAAAGGGAGTTTTTGAAATGAATTATACTATCAGGCTTCATTGATCTAAAAATGTAATTTCTCCATATGCTTTTCTCATCAGCTTACCATCACGGTTGCTCAATAGAGAAACTAATCCACTCAGACAAGTGTCCGTAACTTCCTTGATATTACTAGCACAGCGTCCGATGGCCTGAATGCTAGCACCAACGAATTCCTTGTCACTGCTCGATATATACGTTTGGAACTCCCTCAAAATCACCCCAATACTCGTTTCAGTGGCTAAATTCGTAAGAATATCAAGCTTTAAAAGTTTAATATGAGTAGGATCAGAAGTCCTGACGAAAAAGGACTTGAGAAAAGGCTCGAACATTCCTTTCCTCGAGATTGATATGCTAGCAATGCAGTGGAGGACGATACTCTGTACTTCTCGATGATTTCTTAAAAGCCGTATTAAAGCTTTGGCGGCAATCATAACTTCAGTTCGAGGAGCCACATGGTGGTATAGTTGTGCAACACTCATTACGACTGATGCGTTACGACTTTGCAATAGTGGCTTGGTATTTCGTAACAACAATCGATGATCAGTATCAAGGGAAAATTTAGTTTTTTTAGGAGCGCCATTAAAGGATTCTTCAGAATCTGATTCGTAAAATGGCTTATCTTCGTTCTCCTCGAATTCATCAGCATTGGGGTTAACGAATTGTGTTCTTGCATATCTCGTTAGCATATTAACAATCACCACTTGACCCCACTCATCAACATCCACTAACAAATTACACAGTTTACGATAATTCTTATGAATCAAATCAATTCTCCCTGGGCAAACTTCTTCGAAGGCCATCACAGCTGAGCCCACTACTAGTGTCGTTTTGTCCGATAATAATTTTTCAATAACACTGATTAACTCGTCCTTCTGCTCTGAATCAAGTGAATATAATTTCGGAATGGCATGTGCTGCTGTTTTTCTAACGTACGGTGACATATCACTTGCAGAGTCTTTTATCGCCAGCATCACAATAGGAACAATCATTGGTACTCTTATGCTGGATAAAACTCTCAATGCACTCGCTCTTATTAATTGATTAGGATCTTTCAGAGCTCTTTGAAATGTTGAAATCGAAAGGAGTGCCAAATCTTGCTGATCTTCAGCGTATCGAACTAAATATACGTACACGAGTTTTTTCACTTCTATATTTTTTGATACTACATTCTTCACTACTGCTGGAAATAGATCGGATGCATCTCTTCCTTTTGCAACCATCTGGAATAATTTAAGCCTTCTTTCAGAACGTACATCGAACTTCATCATCGGCTACGTTAAAGGCCAAATTGCAATCAGTCTAAACCCTTTTTTCAAACAAGGCGGTTTTTTCATTAAATTATTGTATTATTTTTCCGTAAACAATGTGACTTTGTCGAGACATTGAATTTCATTAAAATAATTCGAAGAAAGTTCAAACACATTGACTACAATATTGAAGATAAAAAAAATCATAATGAGGTACAGAAATTATCAATACATAATTTTTTATCAATTTAGCACCAGCAGTATTGCATGGTTATCACGTACTAATGTACAATGATCTTTAATTGTAATAATCTTGATTGTTTATCCTTACCCCTATAATGCGTTTCATTGCCTCCAATTTCAAACCATCCTTGTTGCTATCTAGCATTTGTTTCAAATCGTCATGCCTGAAAATGAATTTCAACAGATTAGGAGAGATTTATTTTTCATTCAGCAGAATTGCTGATAATTACTTTTTATAGTCCGAGTGAAAGAATCCGCCAGAAGCCGGATCTGTGCCAAGTTCTGGTTCGGAGGGCTTATCATTACTATAAGACCCGCCCGTATTGTTAGACAATGTACTTGCTGCTGCAGTCAACATTTTTCTAACTAATCGGCAATCTTGAAAACTTTAAATTTGTGGAAGACTAATGTAAAAAAGCTTCCACAGCGGAATGTACACGAGATAAACTTTTGACAGCCGTCTTGCTGGTGCCTGCTGTTGTTCCTTGATGGACGTCTCAGTCTGATACGTCTGCTGCTGCTGCGCTGGGCTCGGATTCTTTCAAACTTCATAAAAGTACCAGAAGAGGGCTACGACTACCTATTATTTTATTGAACAAAATTACACATGTATCATATTCTATATATTGTATTCATGAAGATTGAGACCATTCTTCATGAATACAATATATGATTGTATTTTAGCTGCAATTAGAATTTTGTGATGTGAAATTAACGCCCATTTCCTCAACTACGCCATCTCTCGTTGATCGTACCGGAGCTTGGCCCCATTCGATTACGATTTTCTTCAATTCGATACTCTCGCAGCCGCCATTTTTACTTCTTTCGACTTTCTTCAATTCGATTTTTGAGCGGTAGCCATTATGCTCTCCTTTATATATACGGAATACGGAAAGGAAAGGAAAAGGATTAATTATTTTGACAATCGAAATTCATTGATAGGCGAATGGTAGACAATGATTGACTATAAAAATAATTTGATAGTTTGATTTTTTTTTTACGAATTTTCAAAAAGTCGTCATTACAGATAGTGCCTCTTTTTTTGAATTTATTATTATCAATAAATAAAAAGGAAACGAAAAAGAAAAAGAAACTTCTACTTAGGCTCATTTTACGCGGAATTGTTTGATAGACATTGATAAACAGTGAATCAAAGTCTATCAATTCGATAAATTGGCGTAAAATAAGAAAAACCTAATCAGCATCATTAACGGCATAAGAGTGGTTTCGGATGGTGAAGGGGATTCTCGGTGGTAGCCATTTTGAACGGCTCAGCTGAGTTTCGGAGCACGAGTAGTCGAGTAGAGGAAATCATCAGAATGTTCGGACATGGAGCATAACACTATTGCCTTTGCAGAATCCACGTCCCTTCCTGTAGCTCCGCCACTTCCACCACTTCACCACTTCCACCTCTTCCACCTCTTCCACCATCTCCACCACATGGCGATAATTGTCATTCTCCTCACGATGGTAACATATACTCGGTAAATATTTGAAATAAAAATATGTAATTATCAACAAATAATCCATAATTCGTCATTCCAACTGATAATTTATTTTGATTTTGAATTGACGTGTGCATCATCAACGATTTTATTGCACTATTTGGGTTTTTCAATTTTTGCCAATCGACAATCAATCGATTAATTGTTAAATACTCAATTCATCGATTTATACTACTAGATGCTATTACACTGCATGATAATATAACAGGATCCATCTTACTTCCATCTCCATCTTACTTCCATCTCCATCTTAAAAAATTATTGTCAATCCTCATTATTGAAGTTTCATTCAAATTTCTATAAAACCAGTCTACAAAATGAACGTAAATAAATAAATTGTTTTCAAATTCAATGATTATTTTCATAGTCAGTAAACTGTTTTAAAAATTCCGACAACAATAAAAAATGCAACCTTTAATAAAAGAAAGAATAGAAAATAAATTTGAAAAAAAGTTGTTTTTGAAGGCATAGCGAGGTGACAGCTGGCGCCAGCTGGTGAGAGCGGCGCCAACCCTGGAGTACTGGTGGGGTTCGAGAGGGACCTAGAGGAAGATAGACAACCCCAAAAGATAAAGACAGATGATTAAAAAGAGAAGGACAGATTGGGGAAGGAGTGCTATAGCGAGTGGAAGCGGCTGGAAGCAACGAATGCACACAACACACAGCCCGTGTCCGTCGTCCGTCGAATTTTAATGGCGGCCAACTCCGTAAACCCCGCTTACTATTATTGTCAATTGACCAATAATCAAACTAACGTCCGCACACCCAATCCTCATCAGAGCAAAACAAATGATCAAACAATCGAGTGATTGATCCAATAAAGAGTGCACCGAGTGAAGTGATATATTTATTGATAAGGTGAAGAAAAAAAAAGGAGGAAAGGCAAAAAAAACCTAGTGGTGAAAATAATAAAGAGTGCTCCCCAGGACGAAATAGTCCCTAAAGGTATAATATCCCAGCCAACGCTTGAAAACCACAGGATTAACCCGTCAGTGTAACATCACTACAGGATATCTCCGTAGTGCGTGTGCAACCATGATGAATCAAGATGTACCGTGATACTATTCTCATCGTCATTTTACCCACAATTTCCAAACCGAAGAGGTAAACAATTACATACCCTATTATTCGCAATATATATTTATTTCTACCTATAATTGTGACGTCACCCCTTTGTCCAAAGACTAGCCAGTAGTTGAGTGTCAATATTCAATTGATGTTTTATTAAAAACGTCCTGGGAATGCACATTCCTTTGATAAAGCTGAGAATTGAGGGAGTAAAAAGAAAAGTGCGTGAAAAGGGGAAGAAACTGACGTCGAAGGCGGCGTTTTTTCCGCTTTTCCCTTGATTCCCTTCATTTCTGCATTGAGAAATGAAAATATTTTTATTTGCCATCTCTTGATTTCTCATAAGCTCGCCTTTGAAGTATATCGCATGAAAACGTGAAAATTTTTCATCGGGAAAAAAAAAAAATGTAGTCATAAAGGATCCACTAGAGCCCCCGTTCCATGCCTTTGTGTCGAAGGAGACCGCAGTGCTATGGCCTTAGCTGTCAAGTGTGCCTCTATATGCCCCTCATTTTTTTTTTGCTTTTTTATTTCACATTTTTTTTCTTTTTCGTCTCCATCCCCCACTTTTTTCGTCCACCCCCTACCCCTCCCATACCACTGTATGGTGTACCGATATACTGTAAAACCCAAAGGGCGTACATATACCTATATAAGTTTCATATACACGTATATGTAAGAGCACTCACGAGAATCATGGGGAATAGAGCCATCTGGGCCCGTTTGTCATTTACTTTACTACTACACCAAACAATCTCTTCACTACTGTGTACTTCTCTCCTCTCTTCTGCTCTCTCATCGCCGTTTCTCATTAGTCATTATGAATTTACGGTGCACCAGCTACTAAAGTATCAGTAACTCACCCCTCTCCCCTTTTAACTGAACTGTCGAGACAAGTAGAAAGGATATTGTTGTTTACTCCTTATTTATGAATATGTGGGGGGATGAGTTATACGGGCAACGATTTATTTTAATTTCAATGGTTTTGGGATTGGGGTTGTGCACATGGGTTTTTACTTTGGGTATATCAAAATTATAGACAGCTTTTATGATAAAATTACCGGATTCGTTTCAATTGAATTACTGACTTAAGTAGGTCTATTCATTTTGTTTATTAATGTTTACGGTTATAAATTGTGGCTGTTAGGGATGGCATTATACTGGGAGTTTTAAAGTATGACAATTGGTAGAATGATCAATAAATTTCAAATTGTCTTGCTCATTATAATGTGTGATGCAAATGGTTTTTTCTTGATTGATTCATTCATCTCCTTCCTGTTGTCTACCTATTGACAATTTCTTCACATTATTTTTCTTTCATTTAATCTTTTGTCACTTTATTGTTTGCATTTTGAATGATTTTTTTGTCGCAATTTACATTCTTATTTATCTATAAAATTTCTTAGTCGGTTGTTTTGAATAATTCTCCAATTTTTAAAAATGAAATTTCATTTGATAAAAAAAAATTGATGAAATAGCAATACTGTCATAGAATTATGAATAAATATTCAAAATCAATTTTTTTAATCCTCCTATTGTTGACTTGACTTTTCAAACCGCTTTTCAATGCACTCTCACTAAAATATTCCAACAGCATCCATTCATTGGAATAAACCCCTTACCCTTTGCCGTTAATCACACAAGTTTGATAAGCCATTGAAAATTAAAAAAAAAAAAATCCTTTACATTTTTCGACGTTTTGGAAGCACATCACGTGTGTTATCAGAGCCATGCATTCATTTATTCCATAAAAATTTCATTTTCCGACATAGAATAGACGTAGCAAAGAGAAAAACAGTTTAATTGGATTATATTCCACCAGAAACAGCTAAAAAAAAACTGGCGTGTGTCACACATCTTAAGTGATGAATGCAGAATTAAAATTCTTTCACTTGAGAATTAGTTATTCATTCATTATTCATGACAGCTCTCAATTGGCTGTACATAAAAGTTTATAATATAAAATTTCACTGTATTACCTCGATTTCAATATTTTCATTGAAAACTGGCAAGTAGTCGAAATTAAGTCAAACCGGTTTACCACATTGCTACTGAATTATTACAATCATCATCATGATGCTCTAGAGGATAATTATATTGCACGTGACCTTGGAGTCTTGTGACCTCCAATGATTATCAACGTTTTATTAATAATCTCGATAAATTGTCAAATATAATTTATCCCTAAAATCTAAAGTGATTTAAATAAATTTCTCGAAAAAAGAGATAAAAATAAAAATAATAAACTGTCAATACAGATTAACAGTAAATAACTCAACTGTAAACATTTGCACAAGAAATTCTGTAATTGACCGAGTCAATAGCCATGACAAGCTCGTAAATGTTAACATTTACGTGAAAGACATCCACCATCAAATCACTAAATATTTTATTGATACTTTGTTTTACAGGGGCTGGAAATAGTGAGGCATCATGCTGTTGTACGAATGGGCGCATCGCTGTTAGCGCCATTCGGACAAAGCCCTCTCCCAAATCCTCTTTTCTCAAAAAAAAAAAGAAAAAAAAAGAAGAACCGAAACGAAAAAATATAACTCCATTTCCCCCCTTTTAACGAGCCAAACAAACAATCGCTGGAGCACATAAAAAGTGTAACCCCTCTATCCCCTGCATGTTTCATCACAATTCACTGATACGAGATGATATACTCCGTACTGAGACCCTTTCCCATACTGCTGGCAGTGCCACCTCCACCACGGTTGCAAATGTCTCTGATAAAAGAACAAACAAACAATGCAATATCATCGTTAGTTTGGCCAACAATATTCATTGCAATGGTATTAACAACGAGTGCAAACGCAACGACAATTCCCTCACCAGCCTCTTCCTCATCATACCTCTACTCATCACCAGTACCATCTGTACCAGGACCCCTTCCATCCTCATCATCATCATCATCCTCTTCGTCGTCCTCATCCTCCTCACCAATCCCCCATCAATCACAACAATTCCCCCAAGATGAAAATCCCCACGTCGTTGCACGTTTTCCATCAGTCCACCATCGTCTAGAGTTGAGTCGTCTAGATCCAAACCTGACACGCGAGGGTCCACTGCGCTTCAATCATCTCACCATTGATCCAACAACTGGTCGCCTCTATGCTGGTGCCATCAATCGACTGTTACAATTGGATAAAAATCTTCAATTGGAGGAGATCGTGTCAACCGGTGAGTATTAAAATGACAATTAATGAGTTTATAATTGAGTGTGATTTGAACCATGAAGCTTCATCAAGGATTTATTTATGATGTAAAAGGTCCCAAACTGGACAGTCCCCAGTGTCACGCTACCGGATGCATGTCGAGAGAGATGACCACTTCATTAATGGACAACGTGAATAAACTCCTAATACCTGACCTTGAGTCGGATACACTTATCGCATGTGGCTCACTGCTTCAGGGAGCATGTGAAAAGTACAACATGTCGGATATATCGATAAAACCCGAATTTTTACCGCACAGTGTTGCTGCTAATGATGATAATTCATCGACATTTGCCTTCATTGGTCCAGAGCGTTACAATCCCTGGGGTAGATCGAATGTCCTCTACGTTGGAACAACATTCACTAATAATGGTGAATATCGTCATGATGTACCAGCAATATCGAGCCGAGATCTTTATACCCTGGAATTTGCTGAATACGACTTTGACAAGCAATCGATACTCCATATTGACGTTAAATACAGAGATCACTTTCTGGTTAAATACGTTTACGGTTTCAATGCGAGTGATTATGCATATTTCGTTCTGGTACAAAAACAGTCGTATTTACCTGAACAGGAGGAGCTCGGTTATATATCAAGATTAGCTCGTAGTTGTATAAGTGATGCAAATTACGACAGTTATACCGAAGTTACGTTGCAGTGTTCCGTTGATGTTGGTAATGGTACACAACAGATATACAATCTTGTTCAGGATGCTAAAGTTGCTGCTGCTGGTAGTGATTTAGCAATGCAACTTGGTATACCGATTGGTGATCCTATATTTGTATCTGTTTTTTCACCTAGCAAGGGAATAACCAATGAGGCATTACCAAAATCAGCAGTTTGTGTTTACTCACTGCAGGAGATTGAAACAAAATTCAATGAGAATATACACATGTGTTTCAATGGGAGTATAAAGTATCGTAATATGGGATACATAAGTGGACCTATACAGAACGGTGAATGCCCAGTGGCTGGTACTACGGGTAATATATTGAACTTCTGCGAAGTTGGATTAAAAATATCTGGTGTCTCACCTATTGTTGGACAAGCTGTGATCGATTTTCAAGACACATTTGTGACATCGATAAACGTTGCCAATACTGAGAGCCACACTGTTGCATTTCTCGGTACAAGCAATGGTGTTCTCAAGAAAATTTTACTATCAAGCTCCGAGTCATCGGTTTACGAGAGCATTCTCATTGACAATCATCAAAAAATTCTTCCCGATATGGTGTTGTCGCCTGATGGTGAATACATCCATGTACTGTCAACAACGAGAATAACAAAAGTGAGAGTTGAGCATTGCAGTGGTTACACCAGTTGCTCGAGCTGTTTGGATGCTAAAGATCCGTACTGTGGATGGTGCTCACTCGAGAAAAGATGTACAATAAAGGGTGCATGTCAGAAAGCAAGCAGAAGTAGTCCAAGATGGCTGTCACTGAGTACTGGTCAGCAGTGTATCGATTTTGAGCAAGTTTTGCCTGACCGTTTGCCCATAAAGCAAATGACATCGGTTCAATTAACAATTAGAACACTACCGGAATTGCCCTCGGGAACTAATTACAAATGTGTCTTTGGCAATGCTGAGCCCATCAATGCAGCTATGACGGCGTTTGGCTTATCGTGTCCAGCACCACCGGTCCCTCAACGACCAAATATACCCGATGGCACTGATCACGTACTGGTTCCCCTATCAGTACGCTCCAGCGAGACAAATAAAGACTTTGTATCGCGCAATTTTGCTTATTTCGATTGCTCGAGACACACTGTATGCTCGGAGTGCGTTAAAGCCCAGTGGGCATGCAGCTGGTGTGTCTATGATAATAAATGCACCCACAACACCAGTGGCTGTCAGGGAAATATTATCTCTGGGGATAATCATAGCCAGGCAACACTAGCTGCTCATGGTGTTGAGTACTGTCCGCGTTTCTCTCGTCGTGATGAGCCACTTATGCTACCCAATAATGTACCCAAAGAGATTATTCTCGAAGTTGAAAATCTACCCCATCCACAAATTGGCCACACTGGATTTCAGTGTATCGTTACAATCGAGGGGGCCAACTTGCGAGTACAAGCGCGTGTTGATAGCAGTCGTTTCATTGTTTGTGACAAAACTATATACTCTTACGAAGCACTCACTGGTGAATATGAAGCGACCGTGACTGTCGTATGGAATACAAATCATCATGTTGACCGGACGAAAATTATTCTGTATAAATGTGAAGTGCTGGGATCACATCGTGAACACGCTGACTGTTCTTTATGTATGACGAGGGATCAGAGATTCGAGTGCTCTTGGTGTGGTAATAGTTGCACGTACAAACACTCGTGTCTATATTCACCATTTGCTGAATGTCCAAAGCCGAGGATCGACATGATAAGACCGTTGAGTGGTCCCATTGAGGGTGGTACACTCGTTACTATCGAGGGAAGTAATCTTGGGCTTAAAGAAACTGACGTCTCTGATAAAATTCACATTGGTAAAACACCGTGTACATTAGTTGATTATGAAGTATCCGTTAGAATAGTGTGTCGTACTGGAAAGAGAACAAATACCGAGACTGTCACTGTTGTTGTTGGTAATGATGCTGGTTACACTGAGAGTGCTGTTTTATTTCACTACAAGGACATCAAATTATCCGGTATATATCCGTCCGTTGGCCCACAGAGTGGTGGTACACAAATTGCTATAACTGGTAAATTCTTGAATATTGGCAGTACCATATCAGCTTATCTCGATGAATTGCCCTGTCACGTTAATGCTACGCAAGCCAGTAGCACCAGACTAACTTGTGTTACCAGTAAATCAGGGAGAGTGAGGAGAGTACAAAAATTAACACTCAGCATTGACGGCGCTAATCGTACATTGAACACCAATCCATTCAATTACACCCAGGATCCAACCATCATGGAAATCAAACCATTACGCAGCTTTGCCTCCGGTGGTAGAATGATAACTGTGCACGGTACAAATTTGGATACCATTCAGAAACCCGAGATGGAGGTTTATTTTGATAATGAGATTAAGCCGGTGAATAGAACGGTTTGTACTGTGCTGAATCCAACTCAGATGGAGTGCCCCAGTCCAAGTATAGCTGAGAAATTTGCAAATAGGCACAGGAGAGTCAGAGCTTTGAGATCACTTCACAAGCATGGCACAACATTTTCATCATTACGAGCTGGAAATAGTGAGAACGAGGTAGCACTGAGGATAGCATTTGTTATGGATAATGTTGAGAGTGTGAGAGATCTTGAGAAGCATTTTCAAAATTTGAGAAATCGTTTGTCATACGTTGAGGATCCAAAGTTCTTTGCATTTCCACAGATGATAAAAAATTACAAGGGCGATACACTGGTGATCGAGGGTGAGAATTTGAATTATGCTAGTGATGAGACTGATGTTAACGTGACTGTTGGTACAGCATTGTGCAATGTCACATCACTGGCGCATGCACAACTTGTTTGTACACCACCGGATCAACAGCCAGCTGCAACAGATGAGATGGGAATTAAAACTGAACGTGGATTGCCTCTTGTTGTTGTACGTGTTGGACGTACTTTACGCTTTTCCATCGGTTATCTTCACTACGAAGTGATAAAGACCTATCCAATACCACCTGAAGCAATAGCTGGTATTGCAGCTGGCACATTTGGCCTTGTATTTCTCTTTGTTCTTGTACTTGTTATTTATAGGAGAAAGAGCACACAGGCTGAGAGAGAGTACAAGAGGATACAAATACAGATGGATACGCTGGAGAGTAATGTCAGGATGGAGTGTAAACAGGCGTTTGCTGAATTACAAACGGATATGACTGATCTCACTGCCGATTTAGAATCATCTGGTATACCAACATTGGATCACAAGAATTACATTATGAAGGTGTTCTTTCCAGGTGTTATTGATCATCCCATTCTCAATGATCCGAGATCTCGAAATAATGCAAGAACTAATTACGACGCTGCTATGATACAATTTGAAATTCTCGTTAACAACAAGTGTTTTCTCTTGACTTTTATCGATACCCTTGAGACACAGAAAGACTTTAATATAAGGGACAAAGTGAATGTTGCTTCACTGCTTATGATAGTACTCATGAATAAGATGGAATATGCAACGGATATACTGATGAATCTATTAATTAGACTTATTGAGAAATCGGTAGATACTAAATATCCTCAACTGATGTTAAGACGCACTGAATCGGTTGTTGAGAAGATGCTTACAAATTGGATGGCACTGTGTATGTACAATTATCTTAAGGATTACGCTGGTTCGTCATTATTTTTACTCTTTAAGGCTATTAAGCATCAGATTGAGAAAGGGCCGGTTGATGTTGTGACACATGATGCTAGATACTCGCTGTCCGAGGAGAGGCTACTACGTGAACAGATTGATCACAGTGTTGTGACATTGCACGTTATGCAGGATGATTTGGATGAGAAGATTCAGTGTAAAGTGCTGGATTGTGACACGATAAGTCAAGTTAAATCTAAGATACTCGATGCACTCTATAAGAATACACCGTTCTCATTGAGGCCATCGATACACGAGGTGGATCTCGAGTGGAGGCATGGTAGAGGGGGACATTTGACACTCCAGGATGAGGATCTCACGACAAAGTGTGCTGGTGATTGGAAGAAAATCAATACACTGGCGCATTATGGAGTCAAGGAGTCAGCTGTTATGTCACTCATACCCCGACAAAATGATGCATTCTCCGTTGGATGTAAAACTTATCACAAGGGATCTCTGAGGAATCATCATCATTATCATCGTCAATCAATGAATCGTATCAATCACTGTTCAACGGGTCATTTACCATCGACACCCAGTCACGGATTAATAAGTCCCATTATGTATCCACATCCACCTGGCATTTATTTCGATGCACAACACACTCCATCGCTAATAACATCTAATGGGGACATCGAGAGTGGAGTTAATCAAAGGCTCTGGCACTTAGTCAGACCGATCGAGGATAACGTTTGTCCACAAACTATTGGATTTACTAATAGCAAGCATAATCATCATCATCATCATCCGGAGAGAACGCACAAAGCCATACCGGAGATATTTCTCACGAGATTATTGTCGACTAAGGGAACTGTACAGAAATTTGTCGATGATTTTTTCAATACCGTTCTCACTGCCAATGATGCATTGCCATGCGCTGTCAAGTGGCTCTTTGATCTTCTCGATGATGCCGCTAAACAGCACTCCATATCCGATCCTGAGGTTGCACACGCCTGGAAATCAAATAGTCTACCACTCAGATTTTGGGTTAATTTTATTAAAAATCCCGATTTTATGTTTGATATTAATAAATCAACGACTGTTGATTCGAGTCTATCTGTCATTGCCCAAACATTCATGGACGCTTGTTCGACAACTGAGCACAGGCTTGGCAAGGATTCACCCTCTAATAAATTGTTATTCGCCAAGGATATACCCCATTATCGGGAAAAAGTTGGACGTTTTTATCAGGACGTACAGAGATTACCAACCATAACCGATCAGGATATTTCCAGTGCCATGCAGCAGTTGAGCGATTCTCATGCCAATGAATTTGACGTTATTGCTGCGCTCAAGGAGCTCTACATTTACGTCAGCAAATACTACGAACAAGTAAGTGGAATTTACTTTATGCTTCACTATCATGGGGTTTTAGGAGCGATAGCATGAGCAACCGGCTGAGATAAGTCGATTCTAGGGAGAGGTTTCATAAATGCCACTGCATCTTAGGATGATGGAAGAATAATATACGATGATCGGTATGAAATCGGCCTACTCAATATTCCACTTATATCAGCTACACTGACACATTCAAAAATCAACTCTCGGGCAAATCTTTAGCTGGAAAAATTGAACTTTCAAAGTCACCCGGGATAAAGCACATCGGGTCAAGCAGTTGAAGAGCACCAAAAATTTATCCTCTTATTTGCAAACTTTTGTGTTGAAATAGTGTCCCTAGTTCTTTTTTATTTCAATTTTTAAAAGGAGTCTTCTGCCTTGAATGTCTGACTCTAATAAAATATGCATTTTCTCATTTTTTATCCTTCAGAAGTTATCGAATCTCAGTGATATGCAGCTCACGTCAGACTTTGTAATAGAATGCCCCTGAGTTTAATCATATTTGTCTCTCGGTAGTGAGTACTAAAATAAACAACTCCTGTTAAATGTCATTTGAATTTTTTTTCTCACCGAGGAACATGTTTTCATGCCTTCATTTATTATAAATTGCTCGATCAGTGTGGGCTATTTTTATAATGCCAAAGGATGGCTATAAAATTCGTCAGTGAAAATTTGATGATTTTTCTTCGCCTCGGATATTATCCAAAAACTGACCTCTAACCGTATCATCTACTTTTAAAACTTCATTACTGATTTATCCGACAAACCGAGACTTTATTTCGTTTTAACGACTTGAAAAGGAAATTGTCTTTTCATTCGAATTGGTTGAGAGATATCAAAGATTCTGGAATTCTCTGATGTCTCGTTATTCGCTATTATCACTAGTTTATTCTCCGGTTGAATCGCCTTTCAATCGATTGATAGATATCGATGAGATGAGTTATTTCAACTTTGGATACTCAACTCTTTTATCTAAGGGAGTTTATGGGGGAAGTGAAACTTGCTTGGCTCTGCAAGGACTAGTAAATCAAAATTTTTTCTAAATGGGATAGCCTTATATTTCATATTTTTAGGGAAATGCATGGAAGATTGCCCGCATTCTCGTCGGATATCCGCCGGAAAAAATTTCATCTTCATTCATTCAATCCAATTTAGTAGTTGAGAGGTGGAACGAGGTCTAGAACAGATTCACACATTACTTTACTAATTTTGTTTAGAGGCAGAGATTCTGATCAGCGAATTCAGATGGGGTCAAACTGATCAATTCATTGATTTCAAGTACCAATTAGGGCTCGCCAATTACTTTAGCTTTTGATAAGTTTAAAACATTAAATGGTAACAACTTTGAATGAGACTTTTTGGTAAAAATTTTCTAGCCAAGTTGCTTTAGGTTGAATATATGCAACAGTTTTTCTTTAAAGAAGTTTTTTCGTGGAAAGTTGATGGGAGTGTTTCTGATGGAAGACTTTTAGACATGAACTGGAACAACTTTCGGCTTTTGAGATGTTTGAATATGTTGGGTGCAAGTACCCGCATGGTCATATTATCATCTTGTAATTATCTCTACTAAATTCTAATTTGGAGATGATTATGTAATTAGTTAATGTAAAACTTTATATTTTGAAATAGATATCTAAGAAAAAGTTTTAAAAATTAGGGCTCAAGCGTGAAAAGTTAAATTGAAAGAAAACCGAGTGCTAAACTGCTTATTGACTAGCTTTTATTGACAAAAAAAGGAAATTACGGATAATCATAATTTTTGGAGGAGAAATTGAAAGTTTCAATCGATGCTGAGGTTCAATCAATAGCGACTGCCGTAATTAATGCATTAAGAATTTCCCATTTCATCGATATATCGGGGATATCAATCAACCATCAAATACAATGTTGGTGAAATTGATACGTGGCCGGCCACATGAAAGGAATTCACTTTGTCAGTTCTTTTTATTACATTCCCACATTTCAAACGTAAAACGATCACAATTACATGCAACCGTTTATTTATAATAATAGAAATAGAATAGACACTCAATTGAAATATTATTGAAATTTGATAAAAAAATAACGAATTGAAAGAGTAATAAAATTTTTGTTTTAGAAGAAATTTGATGATTGCAAGTAAATTAGCAATTTACTTTTTGGATTAATCGATTAATTAAAATATTTTGAGTTGTGTTATTTTGATAGGTAGCCTGGATTTGTCTGACAAATGCCCCTCTGTTTGCAGATTTTAGAGGCCTTGGAATCGGATGCAGGCTGTCGTCAGTTACATCTAGCTCATCAACTGGAAAATGTAGCGTGTACGATCGAGGGAGAAGAGACGAGCGCCTGCTGACACACTACCCCCAATTACATTGGGTGAACCCTCGAAATTTTCAGATGATAAAACAAATGAAAAATTAACTAATAAAGGAAAGGGAAGAGTGAATAAATAAGATAAACACTGATCAGTGCCTCGATTTTGCGCATCAGATACACCTCGTTCATATGTACAAAAAGAAAGATGAAATGAAAAGTATGACAAATATGAAACTTATACCGCCATATAAATGATTTAAAAAAAGAAAAAAAACTGAAAAAGAGATGAGAAAACGAAGAGATAAATTAAAGTAGTCTCTGCACCTTCGGTACAATTCGAAGAAGAGGATAAAGAAAAGAACATTCACTCAATTCAATACAAAAGTAAAATGGTCTTCTTTTAATTCAATTTTTTTCACTGCCAGTAAATACAGTAGAGTAACAGAGAAATAAAAAATAAAAATGAAAAAAAAAACAAAACAAAAATGCAAAGCACGGAAATAGAGTCACCGCACAAAAGGGAAAAAGGGAAATAGACGAAAAATAGCAGAATGCATTTAAAAGGGATTGAGAACAATGAGTAAGCGATGACATAAACAAAAAAAAAACCTGCATTTTGAAGAACTAATTAATAAAATAAAAAAGAAGCCATAGTGCGCACCAGACTGTTTGTACTAGTGAAAAGGAGAAAACAAAAATGGAAAAAAAATGAGGTGTACAGCAGAGCGAGTAGTCTGTGATTGGAGCATGCGTGGCTATGCCTATTATCTTCATTACGATATATGAATTATTATTAATTATTAACATGTTATATAGGGGATTGAGATGTAAACAAAGAGCAACTGTCTGAGGCTCATGTTCTGTACAAGATAATTAATTAGCTACTGTGATCCAACTGATAATGACCACTCGAAAAAAAAAAAACGAGTAACGAAACAATATTCTACATGTTGCTGTTTGTTTCCATTGAATTCTGTATGTATGATATACATAAAATATATATATATGAGTGATGGGAAGTGATGTGAAATGACCTCCGGTACGTAGTGAGCTAGATTGGGGGGATAATGTATTATGTATAAATAAATATGATCGTAAGGCTGAATGGGGATCGAGTGATTGAGTGGATAGATGGGCAAAGTAACGATATTACTTTAAGGAAAAAGATAATTAATGAGATAATGGGAGGGTCATTTTGCAGAGTGTATGGGGCAACTTTTTTTAAAACTTTTTTCTTCGTTGGATGAATGAGGCTCAGTCTGTTCTAGGCCTAGATAGCAATGTACGTATGTTCTTGTACGTAATTCAGTTATTATTTTCTTTTTAATCTAATTTTTTTTTTAATTCAGTGGCCAAGTGGAAGACTCTTTGGGTATTTGAATATTGAATTTTTGTCGGTATTTGGATGTTTACGGGAAAATGTTACGATATTTTCTCGTAGGGTCGATTGTTTAAGAGATTTATTGATAATTTAGTGATGGGACTGCTTGAGGTTCACCATTTCGTCACTGAATTCACTATCAATTCAATACTGTAATGATCGCAATGAATTTCTCTGTTTAACGGTGACAGAGATGTTTTGTAAAGCCATACGAATCTCGTGAGTAGGGTATTGATTAATTATTTTATAATATTCAATTGACGTCTGTTTTTTTAAATAATTTGTACATTATCTCATTTTCACTTTGATATTGAATCATCATCATTCTTCATCAACTAATTACTAACTCATTCCATAATTACTGCTATTGTCCAATTAAATGAAACAATTATCAATTGTACAATTGTTCATTAAGTAACAAGAGGAAATTAACGAAATATTTAGGGTATAAAAGAGCGGCATTTTTGTACCAGATTCCCAGGAAGCATGATGATGTGCCTCGAGGTCTTGTTATTTGTCGAATTTTTTCGTTCAACATTCGTAGAGAAAATATTGCGGAAAAATTCTGGAGTTTCTATGTTCTCATTTTTTTATTCAACAAATTATTGGACTCGCAGACGACGCTAATGAGGTCTCAAAAAAATGTAGCAACAGCAAAATGTGATGACGTATCCAATTATGCAATACCGTTTTTTTTTTTCAATGGTAAATTAACGCTCTCGTGGACTGAAATAAACTACTCAAATATGCGTTCCACGGATAACTACTCAATTGACTGATTAAGAATTTTTTAATACTCTTATTTTCCATTACTGTAACTTTTTTTAATATAATTTATGCCATGCAATTTTTTTTGATGACGAAAATATTGACGTACGAGGGCAATTGATCGACTCATTGAAATCCCCCCACGTCAATGGCTAAATGTGAATAGAATTAAATTTTAGTCATCAAACAGCGAGAAGAAACTGAAAAAAAAAAGATTTATCGTCCGATCGATATAAACATTCAATTTACGGTGAAAATAATTAAATTGTGAATGGTGGGACAAAGAGTGGAGAATCGTGCTCTCTACAGTTGCCAATAATTTGTACTTAAATCCATGTGTCCACTCTCTGCCCCACCATCAACGTCAAAAAACACTCTTTATATATATACATATTATACATATATACATATTGTATTTATTTATATTATCAATTGACGAGAGTACGTCAATCTGTGCAGTGTAATCTACTTAGCAACGACGGAATTCCGTCCTGGCGCTTCATAAATTTTGTAGATATAGTTGAAGAGCTAAAAAAATCTATTTCATAATTTTTTATTTTATGGGTAAAAATACGGACGTATAAATTTTTCTCATTAATCACTCGTAGAAGCGTGTGTATGATAAGAGTACCTCATTTACGTAGAAGGTCTTCCTTTGTGAGAAACAACTAAATGCGCCTTGTCCTGAAGCAATTAAATTAGTGATAATTATATATATGTGTTGGTTAAAATATTTCATTTGTTCTCACTCTATTGTTTATTTCTTCATGTTGTTGTAAATTCCCAGACGAAAATTGTCCAGATTTATGTATGGGTTAATGAATTCAGTAGCTAAATCGAAAACTAGGATAACTGCACATTTTGAAGATGTGTTTTTTTTCAAATATCTCGCGATTAAAGAAGAATATTGGTATTTCCATAATAACCTTTTTTATAGGGCTCACCATTCTCTATAAAAAATGAAAAACTGAAAATTTCGCTATCTCTCGTTAACAGCGAGATATTCGCTAAAAACTGGCCTCGAAAAATACTACACTTATCCTAGTTCACTACATAATTCATCATTTGGGGTTTTATTTTCCTCTTTTAACTCGAGCTTTATGATTTCACTGTGGATAAACCCCTCATCAAGAGTAATTTCTCGTTACTCACTATTTATTATCGAATTGTACATTTATGGAGGGAATCTCGATTCTTGAATTAGTACAGATTGACGTACCCCGTGAATGAAACATAAAGAAATGTGCGTGCGCACACATGAGTAATCAGCAGCGTAATCCGGCCTCTTGTTTCTCTACTAGTGCAAATATCTTTTTTATTTAATGTTTTTTTTAATTTCTTTTTTTGTGAAAAAGAAGAACAGTACATGTTAATAAAAATCACGTAGTAATTGTATTTTTACGATTATATCCCACTCCTTCGTGTCACAATCTCTGATTTTATTATTTGCCATCTGTTAGGATGATGTGTTTATTAATATTTGATTTTTGAGGAAATTATCGCAGGTAATTTCGTAAGGAGAGGATAAAATGAAAACAACAGTCGATTTTCAATGGGTGATTTCAGGAGTAATTCCGATTTAATTATAATCCTGATATTTTACCTTGAAATCGATCATTAATGAGGTCATCATGAAGTCAATAATTTCTCTTCATTTTATTACGTTTAACTATCAAATTTTTGAGGCCATTTTTGGACCTTCAATTCCATCCAAAATCAGAATGAACGAAATAGATATTTAACTGATCCCAAACGAGCAGAAACAAATAAAACGCAAAGCAATTGTCAATTTATCTGTATTTGATTTTTAATAAAATCAAATAGCTAGAAATAAATGGAGAGGAGAAATTAAAGATGATAGATCGGTGTGAGCAGCCACAAATTAAATGGCATATTATTTTTACTAATTTTGTCTCTAATGAATGAGCAGGTCTAATCAATTCTAGATACTCACGCTAATTAATACGTAATATTATTGAAATAATAACAATAATTCAGTGGATGAATAAATATTCGAAAGTGCCAGATTTATTTCCTTTGAAGGTATTAAAAGATAACATTTATTTTAAAAAATTCATGTCAACCATAAAAATTTCTATTTGCCTCATACTTATGAATAATTTGTTACAAATGGCGATTGCGAGGGCCGAAAAAAAAAATGGTCGTCAAAGAAGAGTATTACTGCAAGATAAAAGGAAAAGCGTAAAAAAATGGCCTAATGTCTCGTATTTCTGAACGATGCAATCCCTATTAATTACGGAGATGGACTAATAACGAGAGAGAAAAATTATGAAGCAGTTTTTTCCAAAGCCGCAAAGTTCTTTTCAAACATATTTCATCATAATTTCTCCTAAAACCCCTCATTACCAAGATAATCAAGTATTACCCCGGAAGCGAAATTTTGCCATTTGAATAATTGACAAGTGCTCTACTGAATTATTGCTGCTCTGTAAAAAGTCTCTTGAAGCAGCTCTTGTTGTGTCATTGTCAACGAGGAAATCAACAATACAAACGAGTGTGGAGGAGACAAAACCAGTGAGAGAAGGCTAAAAATAAAATTGAAACAAACAGACGGAAAGATTTATGACGAGACAAATCGTATCCTTGCATTTGTCTTTAGGATATTGTTATACGTACGCGTGTGTGCGCATGCCTATGTAATCCACGCAATTATTCCATTGTAAATAGCATTTATCCTTTCCATCCGATCCTCTGGGCCCACCTCTACTCCTCCCCATGCTCTCTCCTAAATTTTAGATTCTAAGTACACAAAAGGGAAAAGATAAGGTAAATAGGTGAAGGTAAACGAGTAAACGAAATGATTCTTGCCAAATTTTCCATGGAAAATAGGGAAATTATTAACTGAAATGCTTGATGAAAAGAAAGAGAATTGAGAAAGAAAGATAACTGATGAGAAAATAAAATTATAAAAATATATTAGTATTATAAACAATTATTGTGTGTTTATTGCGAGCCTCGAATTATATCCCAAGTTTCTCAGAAAGTGTATAAATAATTTCAATAAAATTTTACACATACTTCGAGGGAAATTATTTATTATCGTTTTGGGGAAGGATTGTGGCTTGAGTTCCAATGTTTGGCAGTGAATTATTATTACATTAAGTTTATCACTTTAAATCCCTGATTATTATTGAATTTATCAACTCATTAGTCATTTTTTCGGCTCGACTTGTCGGAATTCTTCGAGGAGGATGAGCTAGACATGTATTTACTCGAGGAACTTGTGCTACTGCTGCGTTTCTCTCCTTTACCTTTTTTAGTCACGTCTTTTAGTCGTCTGTCACCTGTAATTATGTTGATACTTGGGGTCGTCTTGGAGCTTGATGAGTCGATTATCACCGAATGGCTCGAGGACCCTTTGTATTTTTCTGAGTGTTTCGAACCTGATGGATAATTCACCAATTTATTACAAATCCGCCAATCGACTACTAAAATAATTGAATATAAAACTTACTAGATGTTGACTTCTTCGTCTCTTTTTTGCTCTCTACCACAGGCTTCGGTGGTGGTTTATCCTTCACAGGCTGCAATTAACAATTATTTGCCGTTATCATATCTTCAATTTTTATCAATAGTTCAATAAATGATTAAGAGCTTTAGAGGCAGATTTAGTTGAAGACAAAACAAACCTGATGAGACTTGATGCAGTTGGAGCAGTACCAGAGTAACTTGGGCACGTCAATCTGCGAGTCCTGAATATGAGGAGTGTGACACTCCTGGTGATAAAGTGCATGACAATCAGCGCATTCGACGAGCCTGTTCCTGGCACCCACGTCCATGCCCTTGCAAACGACGCAAGTCAAATCATCTTCGAGGATCTCAGCCAATGGATCATCGCTGATTAACATATCCGGAGGCGTTCTTGCAATTATTTCCTCCGGAGAGTCACTTTTACTGGATTTATGGGAGTGTTTGGATGATGAACTGGAGCTCTTGCTTTTCTTACTGCTCGTGCTGCTGTGATCACTCAGCACTGGCTCCTCCATCGTATACTAACAAAAATTAAAAATGTCATGAATTCTTTCCTCAGGTACTGAAGTATGAAAAAAGGGAGTTTGTCAATTATTAATTGTCAAAAATTGTAAATGACAAAATAATATCCAAGGAATATGTATACTCCACCTTTTTATGCAGCACATTGCAGAGCATCTTGGAGAGGCCGTGTTTCTGCTTGATAGCTTCATCCAGAAGACTCCTCAGCTGGTCCATTGAATCCTTATTAGAAGAATGTAGGAGTCTCAGTCCCTGCACAAAGTGCGAGTCCAAATCCGAATGTGTCATTTTATTATCCTATCTACCTAAAAAATACCGTCGATTCCACCCTGCAACAAAGTGCTCAATTAAAATTTAGGTTATAAAACCCCCAAACCCATGGAACTAATCCCCAACCCGTCGAGATCAGAACACAAAAAAAAAGGCCAAACCTAGACAAAATGCTCGTTCATAACAACGGAAAAATGGGTGCTGACGAAAACCGTGTGGAGCTCCTCATGTTTATTGTACCTTGAAATCTGAACCTCGAGTTCTCCCCAGAGGACCTATCATCCGCCTCATCCCCTCATGCCGTACAAATAAAAGCCAATGAAAGCTGTTTGAGAAAAATTCAGTGGAAACATTGACCGAAGGTTGACTAAAATAGTCCCCTTACCCCTGCAAAACCGAATATCTTGTACCAATCGAACTCCCCCTCTTGCCCCGCCCCGGAATGAAAAAAAAAATGAAGAAATGTCGGAGTAAAAAAGAAAGAGGTAAAAGTCTCGAATCCATTTGTTGCAGATTGGCTCCTCAGGTGCATCTGTTCATCAGTGCATCTGTGCATCTGGATTCTCGCGAGTTGAATATTTGCCTGAGAGACGGCTGGCCAACATTCCACCAGCAGTTGGCAGTTGGCAGCCTTGCATAAAAGAAATAAATAATCAAAAGGCGACCATGAAGTGACAAATAAAATGCTGCTCTAAACCCGCTGAACAATCAAAAAGTGCAATTCCCTCCCCCCCACCATCAAAACCAATCCCCACCTCCAGTGACAAATAAAAATTCTTAGATTTACCTGGATGCATTGAGGTGACTAAAAATTCCCACCAAATTCCCAAAAGAAATAAAAAAAAATGAAAAAAAATACCGTGCCTCAAAATTTCATAATTCGAGGATGAAAAATACTCTGGTGTCTTCCCCTCTCTTGAACAATTAAAGAACGGTTTTTTGTGAAAAACGTGGATTGTGGGTAAAGACGCGCGAGATTGGCTTATCGCGGTGGTACGTGAGGGGCAAAAAGAGGGAAAAAGGAAAAACAGGGATGAGGAGTTGAAGTGAGAGAGAGTATTTTGAGGTGTGAAGAGAGGAGAGACAAGGTTGCAAGGAATCGTGGCGACCGCCACCGCCACCGCTACCAATACCAACATCATCATCAGGCATCACCAACATCACCAACATCACCAACATCACCAATACCATCAACACCGCCACCACCGCCACCGCCGCGCGCTTTAATCCCAATCGTCGCCTTCCATCCTCTCTTCTCTCGATGCTGAGGGGGTGACATTTGGAGTAACACTTGCATATTTCAGGGAGAGAGTCAAGGAAAAAAGAAGGAAGTAATATCACTCCTGTGCGCTGCCAACTCGAGGGGAAGTTATTTCCACTTAAATTTATTTCGGATCAGTGCGACTTGAACTATCCCCATTGTTGTATTATTATTTTTGCCTTTCGAAGTGATAAAAACAAGTGTTGAATGAATTTTTGGCATTTTATACCTCGATTATTTCCACACACGTAAGTGACTCGAGTCCAGCAATTTATAGATCACTTCCTTTAACACTGGATTGTCAATTAATACTTCGAGTGAAAATATTTGTGTTCAGTTGTTTCATTTTTTTTTTGTTCCGAGGGGCTTAGACGCGATTTTACAGTTGATCTGGCGATTTACTGGTGTTTAACATCGAGGCGCACTTCTACATTGATAACCTCACTATTTGGTTTGTGAAGTTGAAGAGATTTCAATGATATTGTAAACAATTGGTAGTGCGGGGATTTTTGATTGTTGAACAATTGGGGTGGAGTGGTGGAGAGGGTTATGAAGATGATTTTGTTTGTTCGGTGGATGGAAAGTTATTAGCAAAGGCTGAAAAATGAAAACAGAGAAAAAGCAGAACGAACAGAATTGCATACCTAGTGCGGTGGTTAAGGAAGAGGCTGAGGGTGATGGCGTTAAAATTAAAGAGGAAGGCAATGGGGGAAGTCATGATGATGCCACTGGTGATGACGGGAATGATGCTCAGAGAGATGCTGGCTTGGATCAGGGTAATGGAGATGCTAATATGCCCATTGACAATCAGAATGGTACAACCAATCAGCCCATATTGAATTCGGTTAAGCAGGAGAGTGAACACAGTAATGCTAATGATGATTTGAATGCTGGTGAGTGATTTTTATATTTTGTGTTGATGATTGGGAGGCGAGGGAGATTAATTTGACATTAGATATTCACTGAAAAAGTCATTTTTGCCACCAAAATTGACTTCATTTGGAATTTTTAATAGTTCTGGTGATTTGACTGGAGCTTTTGGAGATTCTCGTGATTTACCCATTTTTTTGTTACAGATAATATTCAGCCATTAGTTAGCAATGTTTTGGGTAAACAAATGGGGGGTAGTGGTTGTGGCGAGGCCCAATATATGCAACAGCAGAGCCAGATTTTTGTATTCTCAACGCAATGGGCTAATAAAGGAGCTGAAGCAGTTCTCCAAGGACAATTTCCCTCGATCGTTGCTTACCACTGCTCGCAGCCACAGACGAAGAAATATCTTGAGGTAGATTTAACCTTAAATAAAAGAATCGAAGGTATTAGAATAAATAACTGAGTAGGAAATGAGATTCAATTAATTCATGAGCAAGGCGTAGATTTTCGTGTAGACCTGTTATATCGGCAGTATAACAGGGTCTGTCTGAAAATTTTAGTAGTCTCGATTTAAATAGACCATTTTCACAAAATCTGAGAGAAATGGAAATTAGGTTTTCTTTAATGTTGTCGAATTCAATTTGAATAGATGATTTTTCATAATGAAAATTCATTGAAACGTTCTATTTATACACAATGTGGTACGTCCCGATCTCTAAACGTTTTTAATCAATATCTGTTTATCTAAAGCAGAAATAGTAGTTGTCATGTCTCTTTTTATAGATCCAAATGACAGTTCAACAATATTCTTCTAGATTCCAAGTTATTTTGGAAAAACGCTGACGGCTAAAAATGTCAGATAGTAAAAGTAGCATCATGAAAAAAATAGTATTCTATTTATTGACACCGCATTGAAATATCATTTGATTTGTTACAGAAACATCCCAACAAGATAAATCAATTTCGTCAGAACCCAGCGCAATGGTTAAACAATATTGCAATGATGAAGCAGAAAGGCCAGCACCAGCCCCCAACCCCAAATTTTCCTCCAGAGCAGCCAAGTGACTTGCCACCACTGGATCCAACAGCTCCATTCTGGAATGATCAGCCGAGCCTCCGTAATTTGAACGGTGGTAATGCAGCAGAGTCCACACTGGATGATACGAATATAGATGTGCCTTGTCTCGGTCCAAGTTCACCGGGTAATCAACAGACAAATAGTCAACCACCTGGTAATCCAGCAATGGGACAGAGTCCAGGTTTACTCGGTAGAACGAGCCCTGGTGGTCTCCAGCCATCACTCCAGGGTGTTAAAGTACCAGATGAAAATTTAACACCTCAGCAGAGGCAACACAGGGAGTCACAGCTTGCTACGATAGGTAAACTCCAGATGATGCTCTTTCCAGAACAGAAGGACGACTCCACTGGTCTCCTCGATCCAGCCCATGTACCTCCTGCCGGAAATTGTCCTGCTAGTAATGTTCCTCCTGTTAGCACATCTGGAGGTCCCTGCTCGACGAATATGGAGTGGCACAAATTGCAACATCCATTTCTCGATGGAAAAAATAAAGTTGGCGTGGGCAGTCCAGGTTCTCTACGGGGTTCAGGAATGGTGGGTGGTGTACCCCGGAGTCAAGGGCCTCCTCCTCCATACCACCAAACAGCCCGTTCGGCGAGTGTCCCAATAGCAATTCCCAGTCCAAATCCATCATCACCCAACAACCCAACCTCCAACCTATCCCTACCATCGCCACGTGCCAGTTCAGCCCTCAATTCACCAGCTGACTGCAATCGACAGTTTCAACTGAATCCCCCACGTGCAGGTCACCTGCCAGGCCAGAGTCCGACTAGTCAGGACTCACCAACCCCTGCCAGCCAGCCATCCTCATCAGTTCCACCTTCCCGACTAAATCACAGTAATCCTGGAACTCCAGTCTCCCACTCGCATTTATCCTCCCTCAGTCCCAGCAACACAACTCCTCAGAAGGAGCCTCAACTCGACTTTCCCCCCAATCAGCCTTCCAATGTCGAGGGAATGTTCTGTCGAACACTACAAAATCTCGCCCAGCAAAAGCAACAGCAGCAGCAACAGCACAACACACCAGGTGTAAAAGAGGCAAATCTGATGCCAGTCCCAAGCCCCCAGCAGATACAGTACATGAATACCTTCGACGGCCAGGAATTGACCATCCAAAAGCAGCCGAACACTAGTCTAAAAGACCCCAGTCTCCAAACAAACAACAATACGACCAATAATCAAGACTTATCAAGTCGAATGCTTCCAGCCTCCCTAGATAACAACAATCAATTTCCAGGCAGAACAGAGGGCACCAGTCCCACGATAGAGAGTATGAATCGTGGCTTCGGTGGATCCCTCCACAGCCCCCATACACCCCACACTCCTCACACACCAGGAGGCGCCCCTCAGACACCAGTCGACAACAAGCAGAATAACAACAACACCACTAATAACAATAATAACAATAGCAAGACTTCTGCGAGTGCCCAGAGCAGTCCAGTCCCAATGACTCCAAATCTGGGTGACAGTATGGGTCCACCGAGGACAATCCCAGCATCACCAAGCACAAAACAAGAAACGTCTTCGCCATCTTCCAAGGATATAAGTCAGCCACAACAGCCTCAACAGGTCTCCCAGCAGTCGCAGATACAGTCGCAAATGCAGTCGCAAATGCCACCACAGCAGTCACAAGCCCCTCAAAATCCTCAGCAGTCGCAGATGAATCAGCAGAGCAATCAGAGCAGCAGTGGAGTACCAATGGGTCAAATGAACGCATTCCCCTGCAGCAGACCTCCAGTCAATGTCAGCCAACCGGACAATGTACCTCTGAATCCCAATAATATTGGTGGTAGGATGGGGGGTATGGGAGGTATGAATGCCAATCACTTCGATCCAATAACTTCATTGGCACAGATGAGTCAGCAACTGACGAATACAGCTGCCAGCAATGCCCTGGGAAATGATGGGCCGATGCATGGGGGAAATATGATGCCCTTTGGGGCACCCCATGGAATGCACATGATGCAAATGGGGGGCGAGTTAAATGGCTGTCATCTGGGACCTGTTAATGAACCCAATGACGTGGGTATGTGCATGGGAATGCCTGGAGGCCCACCAGCCAGCTACAGCCCAACGACATCGCACACTGGCAGTCCCACCATTGGACCCAATAAGATATCCCATGGAATGATGGGTCATGGAATGATGCCGGGGCACAATGTACCTGGGGGATATCCTGGCAGCGAGCATGTGCCACCACCGAGATTGATGGGGCACAATGTCGGGCCCAGTCCTTACAATGGGGCCAATATTCAGGTGAAACCCAGTGCTCCCAATACCATTCAGTACTTACCAGCTAGGCCCAATGTTGGACATCCACCCAGGGGCCCTTCCAATCTCGATTTGAATTTTCTCCAGAGATTTACTAATCCTCCAATGCAAAATATGGAGAGTAAGATGTCTTCGCCATCGGTTAATTTACCCTATTTTCCAAATGGATGTATGCCTAATAATATGGGGGGCCCACATTCGGGTATGAATATGGGCCCTGGTGGGCTTCCAGGAATGGGGGGAGGTCCGCCCAGGATTGATGGACAGATTAATAGTCCTCATGGGGGTATGAGGCCAGCACTTCCCAATATGAGGCCACAGCCTAATATTATGAGGATGCAGCATATGGTGGGGGGTGGAGTTTTTCCGGGGAGTCCCATGGATCCTGATAAAGTCTTCCCTCCTGAAATGGCTCAGCAAGTGGGCAATCAACAGAATCCTGGGATGTATGTGCCTGGTAGCAAGGGCAGTCCTATGGGACTTGGACCACCACCTGATACCACACAACCATTGCCTCCCAGTATGGGTGGGGGTAGTAGTAATTTTAAAAATAGCCCATTTGCTGGGGGACCCAGTATGGCTGATCCCAATTATGCACAACAGTTTCATAATTTTCAACAGCAACTTTATGCTACTGGCTCCAGAGCAGCTGGCCCACCACAACCACCTCCACCGCATCCTAATATTCATCCACCTGGTAATTCTCATTCGCATCAGCAGTTCTTCATGCCCAAGTAAGATGCTGTTTTTTGGAAATTCCTCGGGAGTCAAGGGTTGCCGGTTTATTTATTATTTTTTTCGAGTGGATTGATCTGTGGGACAATTTTTTCGGAAGAAATTTTTATGTCACTTTTTTCTTTGAGAGTATAACATTTTTTTACTCGATCAAAAAATTTCTCTCGTTTCGTGTCACGAGGTAATTTTTTCAAGAATTTAATTCTTGAAAAGAATGTCTCATGATATTTTCAAGTAGAATCATGTATTCTGAAGGTAATTCGACAGCTGATAGTCGACGCTTTACTCCCGATTAATTCCCACAATTTCTATAATTTTTCATGTAAAATTTCTATGAGATAAACTATCAATTTGTAAAATTCTGTCGTCCATCAATGTCCTTGTTTCGTATTTTTCAAGATTCCAATTGCAGAAACAATGTTCCGTGCAATATGTAACTTTGTATGAAACTAAATGAAATGAAATAATGAAAAAAAAATGAATCAGCCGAAATTTTTGCCGGTGCGAAGAGTGTAAATTATTGATTGACAAAAAAAAACAATATAAATAACAAGTGGAACGTAAATATGATGTAAATATTTGTGTAAAATCAGGTTGTTTTTAATTGTTTTCATTCTCCTCTTTGTAGTACAACTGAAAGTCTCTACCGGGCCAGAAATAGTCGTATGTGAGAGGGGTGTTGTTCCAAAATGAAAAACCAAGGAAAAATCAATTATCGAAGATTATTTTACGGAATGTTTATTGATTTATGTTACGAGTGTACCGTTCCATGTACAAGACTCCAGCGTAATTGAAACGAAGGAAAAATTTGAGATAATTTTGTTGGTGCAGAAAATGGCCTCAACTGTGCATCAAAACGACAAAACAATGTTAACGGTAATTTATTCTTCCGTTGTCAGAATAACACAAGAAAAAAAAAAGAACAAAATATACTTTAAAAAAATGACGCAGTCACAAAAGCTCAAATTCATATTTGTACATATATTCGATTATACTTGTAAGCATCCAATTGAGCATAACTTCTTAATTAATATCCCCTCATTCTCCCGTTTTTTTCCTTTCTTAAAAAAAAAACTGAAAACCCCATTTTCAACTGAACAAAAAGAAGAGATGAAAAAACGTAAATTGAAAAAAATACTTTGTGACCAACTCTGTGCATAATCATGACTTCACTTAGCCCATTTAATAATCCTATAAGAAAATTGAATAAAATAATGAATTATAGTAATAAAATTAATTGAATAAGAACAATTATGTTGTTGATGAATGATTTTTATTATGAATGAAATAAAATAAAGATATTTACAAGAAAATTCAGTACGTGAAAACAGTTTTTTTTTACTTTTCTTTTGATGCAGTACTTGACGGAACTTTTCAAATCACTTTTTCTTCCTTTTTCTTCCGCTTGGGTATAGTCTACTGCAAAAAGTATACCTACATATCGTTACAGGTTAGTATTGATCAATTTTCTACTCTTGAGTTAATTCAAGTGAAATGAGCAATGTTTTTATCTCACGAAAGCGCACATGGATACATTTCTCTAATTATTTTGCCATATCACAGGCTCCAGTGGAGAAATCGTCGAATTGGTTAAATGAATCTCAGTTGATCATCAATATACTCAGACTCAATGTTGTCATTTGAATGAATTGAGTCTCATTCCAAAGCTTAAACAATGAGTCAATGAAACGTTGAGCCAATGAAGGAAGCGCAATAATTGTATTATTTTTTTTTTTTCATTTCTCCTAAGTTTCTTCGAAATCTATAAATACTTCAACAACTACATTCATCAGCCCAAATTGTAACGTTCACAATTCTATTGCAGGTTTTTCTTTGTCTCATCGATTTCTAGGCATTTTCAAGTGTTTTCAAATACTCGTAATTATCTAGATATAACTTTGGAAAGTAACTAAACGTGTTTGCGCAATTGTTGACTGTCGTCGAGCTTCCAAACTCATGGTTGTTTGCTGAACGACTTTCACCTGAAATCATTCAATCACGTTGAAAGATTAATAAATGGGTTGAACCAATGGTGAAATGTTTTCGCAGAAATCGTAAATCGTTACACACCACTTGCACAAATTCAATCGTATCTAATTCTGGGAGACATGTAAGAAATCAAAGGAAAGAGCCAATTTTGCTAATGGATTCCTGCAGTTTTCAATCGATTTTACTTCATTTAATTTGTCGAATTGCAGAAGAATGCAGCAGATTTCATTGAATTGCATGAATGCATTGGGATTTACATCAGACGTTTCCCAAGTAGAAACTTCTTTTAATTTAGAATGATGTTGAACATGTTTTACTCACAACATTCATCTATTCCCTCGTTCATCTAATTTCGGAAAAATTTCCTTCACCCCTACTATTCAATTCCTGGATTAAACCCATATTTTAATCAATATAGATAAGTGCTAGGTTTTTTTTATAGGCTTTCCCATTATAGCGGTGCTCCAAAGAAAGAAGTTATGATTGGCATCAGCGAGATGAAGGTAGCTTACATGCAAAAACTGGTGCGCTAGTTTCAAAACGGGAATAGCATACCAGGATGCTATTCTCAGCACAATTGCCCTATTGGTTTTCCGATATGAAAGTGTTATAGTAATAACTGCCATTACACCGGTGTAACGGGGATATAATAATAATTTTGTGAATGTCGAACTGTACCTTTTCTTCTCGGGTACATAATCATCCCATTCGCTGAGGTCGTATTTTGATAAATCTCCATCACCATCGTCTTCGTCGTCCTCTTCTTCTCCAGTTGCTTCCTCATCTTCTCCACCTCGATTCACTGCCTCCTCCTCCTCCTCTTCATCCTCATCAAACTGAAATAATACAGCAATATACACTCAGATGAAATTATTACATCGAAATTAATTATTCATTGTACGATATGTACAATAATTGTACGTACATGATTTTTAGTATCACCATGCACCACAAGATCCTCAGTACCTCCAAACTTGTCCTCAGAACTTATTTTACGAGGTGGACTACTGTACTTGGAGGACTCCTTCGAATCATCATCTGATCTGTCCATTTTTCGCTTCTTCTTTCGCCTCCCAAATTCGTCATACTCATCGTCGTCGTCATTCCTACGTTCTTTGTACTCGACAACCCCTCGATCATTGTAACCTCCACCGTAGCCTGTCCTTTCCTCTACTTCACCGAATTTCGGTGCATTACACATGTTGCATTGTTGACGTCGTGCCCAATTAACATTCCCGCATTTACTGCATTGCCAGTCATCAGCACTGCAATTATGAAACAAATATTGACAAAAAAATAAAAATTCATTCTAATTGGTAAAATTAATCATTGAAGTATTTGATGATTTGCTGCGAAGGCATTCAGGACTTCAATACCTGAAGAGTCCTCTGCTTTTTTCAGCAGCCACTTTCCCTATTTCCTGTCCCAGTTTTTTCTTCTTTGACGACTCTCCTCTGTCTGTACAAAAATTCATATTAAGTAAACGAATTTAATTATTCAGTTGGGGGATTCAATGTAAGATAACAATTTAGATACCTTTTCCACATCGATTACAAGAACTTCGTCTGGCAAAATTGATGTTGGCGCATCTAAAAAGAATTATCGATATAATTTAAGAATAATAGAACATAACTATTTTTTCACACTCAATATTTTTTCTAGAGCTAATAGAAACTTGATAATGACGACAAATTTTTGAAGTTTGGCTCAGTTAATTCCGAGTTATAAATTATGAAATGCATTTTGGGTCAATTATTGCACTATTTACTAGTAAATTGCGGGGAATTTATTTAATTAAATTTTAATAATGAATGATAATAAAAAAAATACACACTGGGAATCAGGACAGACCCAATCACCATCGTTGATCCGTTGATGATTGTCCTCTTCAACTTTACTCCCATCCATTCTTCAAAATTATTCCCAAATCTGGATAATATCTGTTTTATCCAATAATATTTAAATATTCAAAACTGCTGAATCAATCACACTCTCATCGCTCCTCACAGAGTAGAGTTCACATTCGAGAATCTCTTCCAATTGCGAATTGAGAAGTTCATCGAAAATAACTCCAGGTCTCTGCAATTGAACGAAAAAAAAAAACAGAATAAAAGGATCATCAAAGGACAGGAGACAATTATAGTGGTGTCGATTTGATCTATGAAAAATGTATGCAAAGGGATCTTTCACAAAATTCACACCCATAACTCAATGAATGATTTCCAACAAATTACCTGGATGTGCGCAACAGCAATTTTTTAATTGAAAAATCCTAATAACCTCGTTGATATGTGAAGAAAAATCGATTGAATTCAATAATAACTCAAGACCGGTATGCAGAAGGAGATAATCCCTACCCTGCAGATGTCAGAGTGTTTTTGCCCATCCGCCATATTGAATTTATAGGGTAGTTTTTCGCTGCACATGTGAGTACGCCATTTTTAAAGTGATTACACTCAACAAATTCTTGGACGACAGGTAGTTTTGAGTTTTCTCGGGGATCAGATCAGACACTACCAGCAGAGATAGGTTGCTCATTATTTTTCTGATTTTCATTGAGTAAAATGGCAGCACGAAGAGCCATTAAGACAATCGATTGGGCAGCAATTGCTGCACGTATCAATGAAAATGACAGAGCAATTTACGCTGCTTTCAAGTCAAAGTCCGATGGATTTCTTCGTCGGTGAGTTTGGGCTAAATTATACTTCATATCGTTACATAATTTCTTCCACAAATTTAAGTTTAACCTTTCACTCATCTGTCAGTATTTATCGCTGATCAACAAATTTTCCTGGCTAATTGGGCTCATTCAGTAGTTCGTATTGTTTTTGAGGTAGAAGTTGTTTTTATTGGGTGAAGTTTGAGGACGAAAAGTGATTTTAACCTCAAACTTATGTTTCCGGAATTTTCTATCTCGAATAATTAAAGAAATTAAATAAATACAGGATTGCTTAAGAAGACGGAATGATGAATGTGAGTTAATCTGGAGAAATGAAATTTCAGTATGGAAGAATTCCCTGAGAGTGTCCCAGCCATCGATTGGGCATTCTACAAGAAGAACATCAGCGGTTCCATGGTAGACTCCTTCCAGAAGGAGTACGACAGCCTACAAGTGCCCTATCCAGCTGACAAATACACGGCAACTGTCGAACAACAGGCAGAAGCTGCTGTAGGTATCACAGTATGATCTAAAAAAAATGTGTTATTCATTATTTGATTTTCAGGACCAGAAAGTGAAAGCTTTCATCGCAGATTCCAACAAGCAAATCGCCGACTGGCAGGGTGAGATAACTCGTGTTCAGTCGCTTATTCCATTCGAGCAGATGACAATGGAGGACTTCGCTGAGGCTTACCCACAAGTTGCCTGGAACCCAGATAAGCCAACACTCTGGCCACACATCCCGGAGTACCAGCCTGGTGATGAACCAGAGAAAATCCCAGAGCCAGAACACTAAATTAAAGCAGTACATTGTAGTCAATTCGATTCCTCCCAATAATACTGTATAAAAATATGCTACTCGAAACAATGTATCATTTACACCAGTTTCAAACTGGAGATATTGAGAATTCATATTGAAGAAGTAAAAAAAAATAATCTACGACCATTGAATTTGTTTCATTTGGCAAATCCGAGAAATTATGATTTCTCTAGACTTTTATGGCTTTTATCCTACAACAAAAATACGTAAAACAGGATGTGATAAGAAATTTAAAAACAACTTCAAAAAATTGCATTGACTCTTATATTTATTCAGGTAAATCGTAAATGTTCGCTGAAGCTACTTGTGTTATATTTTCAGTCAATGAAGAAAAAATATTGTTTCAACAGACAACATTTAATAGACATATGAGATAAATTTCGACATTTTGATTCAACAGATATACTAGATTATATAAAATTCACACTTGCATATTTTTTCTCAACACGGGTGAATTATCAGATTATCTTTGGATTTGTGGGTAACGTATGACAAAGTTTATTTTCTGAGGGAAATATTCAAATTGAGTCTCAGTTTGCATTCGCAGATCAGTAACTCAAGATCAATGTAAGGAGAACGAAATCATTAAATTGGAACTGATGGTGCGATATGAATTGTAGAATTACCTTATTAAATATTCTCAAAAAAAAGAAACTAGTTCTCAAACAAATTTGATTAGAACCAAAAAAATCCGTCGTTAAATATTATGCAATAAATAAGTTTATGGAATGAATTGCTTGCAGCACTCACACATAAATATGCACAGTAAACAATTTATATCAAATAATTCCCGTCCTCAATAAATTCGAATAAAAAATAGATAAGTCTGCAAACTGAGCTACCATTAGAAACGTAACTTTGTACAAGAACCGTTGACATCCCATTAACATTCAACAATTAATGATAACCGTTGTATGGCCGTTGGCGGAAGCATTAAATAGCTGAAACTTTCACGAATCAAATTATAACAGCCTATTTATATGGAAATATCGTCAGACTAGTGGAATGAAACAACGACACCGCCTAACTAACTCAATATGGCTTAATTATTATGACTTTTTGATTCCTGTTTGGTTCTCGTCTGTCATTATGCTCTATTTTATTATGCCTGATCTCTTCCCATTATCTCGATAGAGATGGGGCTATCAATCCAGCTAACATATCGAAACTATTCCCATCAGGGTGGACGGTGGAAATATTTCCTTCATTATCTTGACATTCCAAAAATCCAAATCTATCGATTCCAATGATTTTCAGTTCTTGTTTTGTACCCTCGGATGATATAACATCGATTTCTACATCTGTATGCAACCAGTAGTTGTAGTAAAGATCGTAGAAGTGATCGACATTCCCTTCTTGAAGGATATTATAGAGATTTTCAAGTTCATTGAAAATCAAGGCAAGTAAACGCTCGTAAGTAAGAAGTGGCAATTTTGTTTTCTGTTTTTCATTATATTTCTTGATCACATCGTTGATGCAGCACGTCGGGAGGCTATTTGAAAGATTAATTCCAACGCCAATATCACAGATTGCTTGTGATTTTTGCAATGAAGATGTGACGATGGTTCCCCCAATTTTATTCTGGCAGCCAGCGTAAAAGTCGTTTGGCCATTTCAGTCTCAGATCAATATCCTAAAATTAATAATCGATAAATAATCCACAGCAGGTGGAATCGTCTCCAAGTATTACCTGGTACCCGGGTATCGATTTAACTGCAGAAACAAGGGCAACCGCGACGAGGTGCTGAATTATTGATAGATGCCTACCGATGTAAGAATTGAGAGGAACATGAATCTGCATCGTGAACATTGCGCAGCCTATGGGACTGAGCCATATATTTTTATTGCGGCCTAAAAGCGAAAAAAAAAGTTAATAATCTTCTTTTATATTTTTGTTATAATCGAACAACTGCAATTTCAGTCAATCAAGTCATAAATTGCAAATAAAAATTATCACCTTGCCCCTGTGTTTGTTGACGAGGAATAACTACCAGTCCATGATGCAGCTGACGACCAGCAACCACATGCATTGAGGACGTCATTACGTCTCCATAAATAACGAGACGACCTAGCTCCTTTGTACTAAGATTCTGCAATCAGTACATCATTTAAGATAAACAGTAGACAGAAGAAATCCACGCAAAAATGATATTGAAGTACCTCGAAGTATTCAATAGTTGAGAAATTTTCAGGGCACTGATGAAGCATAATTGGAAGAATTGACGATGAGGCAGGAACAGCTTTGGTCGTAACTCCACAGAATTGCAGTTTTATCTTTGACATTTCTAGGATATCATTCTCAATTTTATCTTTCAAATTCTCCAGCATCTGTAGTTTCAGCTGTAAAAAATAATTGGAGTAACCATCATCAACAAATCAAATTAATCATCATTAAAACGATGTTTTACGCTTGAAATGCCCAATTATCAAGATAATCCAAAACACAATAAATCCTTACGAACCTCATGTCTCCCAAGAAAAAACCCCGGAGTAAAAACCGGTGCCTCAATCGTCGTCTTGATATCCATCCCCAGATGAGTAGCCAGCAGATCGCCAATGATTTCGAGCCTCGCCTGATTGCTCTCTTTCAAAGCCTTGAACTTGGCCTCCTCACCCTCATACTGAGAAGGATCAGCCTCCAGATGAATCTGGGAGAAAATAGCCTTTCCCCCAGAGCTCAGTAGATCAGCAAGTACAATGCTAGGCGTGTGCCAGGTCTCCTCAGTCCCCAAGACCTTCACGTGAAACGTGTGACTCTTCCCGGCCTTGTCCCTGACATTGGCAGACACTGGGGGCTGTGGGGCCGTGAATTTCCCATCCTCCTGATCCTGAGAAAACCTCGATTTAATAGGTGACGCCTGGTAGCAAAAGATGTGATGCATCATCCTGACGTTCTTCCATTTTCCATATGAAAACCTCACGAGCTCATGCTCCCTCACCTCAGCTGTTTTGAATGAAGGAAGAAGAGAGTGCAGAGCATCTGAACACAATGTCAACAATTTTCCCCCTTTGACGAGGTACTCCAGGAGTTGGGAACTTATTTCTCCATCGACGTTCCCACAAATTACCACGAGGTGTGTCTGTTCCACCCAGGAACCCTTCTTGGTCTCATCAGCATTGATATTATAAATAGTGTATTTTTCTCTATTGAGAGTGGCCTGCAACACAGATTTGATGTTATCCCTCGCGATTTCACTGTCTGCGTAGATCAGAACGTTGGGTGGTTTCATGGGGACATTGAATCCCTCTGTTTTGACATCAACTTGAGATTTATCTCGTCTAGGAGAGTGTCGAGACATCTCCGTTTGTAAATTGACATTTGAATTGGAGGTGAGAGTTCTTGAGGATGTGGAAGGGCTTGGAGATGGGATGGATGCATTCGTTGGATGCGTTGGATTCAGAGGATTCAAGTGCTGCTGACTATTTGCGATGCTGTTGGTCAGGGCTAGGGAGACGTTGTCCAGGGTATTGGTTGTGTGGTTGACTTCATTGAATATTGCTGGGGTGGGAGGTGGTGTGGATGGAGTGATACGCCCGTAGGATTCGTCGTTGGATTGATGCTCAGTGGGGGAATGGTGATCGTCTGGAGGTGGATTTATCTCGAGGATTGTGGGCATTTGGAGGGTAAGAGGATTGTTCCCAGGGGATATTATGACACCGGGGAGATTATCAACTTCGTATGGTTTGCTTTGCTGAGAGACGTGTCTAGCTGTGCTACTGAAGTATTTTAGACGGTTTACATGAGCCTCAAATTGCGCCTTCCCCACGAGTTTTTTGTCCTGGAGGACTGTGTTCCCCAGGTTGTAGCTACAGGGCTTCCCTGAAACTTCCACTGACTCAATTCTTGTTAGGGAAAATCCGTTGTTCATGAAGCACTGGCTCTGCATCAGGGCTACTGACAGCTTTGTCATGTGGTCCAGATCGGTTTCAATTATCAGAGCAAAGGACTTCTCCGCAGTCCATGCAACGATTAAACCGTAGTCCTCGAGTTTAACAATTTTTGTGAAAGCGTTTGGGTGAAAGTGATTAATCTCAGCTTCGATTAGCACGTGCATCTTCGAATCTTCAGTAATCAACGAGTGGCCATTGTTGTTCATGTAGAGGGGAAAGGTTGTGTGGCCGAAGGGGTAGAGTAACCAGTCGTTCACATCAATTATTTGCTGAGAAGATAATTAAATCATTATCGACGTCCAACAAGCAGAGAGAATAGTATTTTTTTTCCTATTTCAAGCATAATCAATGGAAAATTTACAATTAAAGATTCATTCAATAATGATTTGCAAAAAAATCTAAAAGATAAAATTTTTAAGATTAGATTCTCTGAGAAGCCACGACTTTTCGAGAGGCTTAAAGTCCTCTAGCATTCGCTATAAACGTAAATAATGGTGATAATGATAAAATAACTAAATAAAAAAAGTTTGATTAATACCAGTGGATAAATGGTGCACAGTCTCTTGTCACCTTGGCACCAAAGAAGATCTCCAAGTTTTGCAACAGTTTTATTACGGCACAATTGAGAACTCAGTAAATCTTGACCATTATCACTGACACCTACAGTTTTACACGTGTCTGAAAGGCGAATCAACAATTGTTAATGTTCTTACTGTTTTAATGATGATGTAAGGCAATTTACAGATGATGTAAATATGTGGATTAGAAGTTCACCATCTTTGACAAAATCCTGCTTTATATAAAACATAATTGATGGTCTTGAATCTAGACCAAGGTTTAGGGCAGCTGTTAAACGCGCCTTCAGAGATGAAAGTCTCCACGATTGTACCCATGTTGATATCATGTAGAAAAGCGTCAACAGCATAGTAGATAATCAAAGATATATGGGTTTGTTACTTTTATTGATGAAATTTATCGGTCTGGGCTGCTATTGCTCATTAACATTCAGCTGTGTCATTCTAGAAGTTAATAAATTTTCATTATTGATTTATTTGCTCCCAATTATCTCTGTCGTGAGAATTTTTTCCTATCAATTCAACAAATTGTACTCACTTGTGGAGGTTCTGTACTCAATTTTGTTTTCACATATTTGTTTACATGCATGATATGTACATGATGAGCGATGACAGGCGAATGTACCTCGTCTCAGTGATGTCTGTAACTCATGACTGTTTTGATGGATTTAGCGGGGTATTGTCTACTGGAATGATTTTTGCACTGAGGATTAAGAATTCAATGGAATTCAGAGAATGCATGCAAAGATGACATTGACTCGAGTAGTCTGTCATGCGCAAATTTACGCGCATGTTTCACGGAGGAGAAATTAAAAAAAACGAAGATAAATTGCTGAAAAACGTTAATTTATCATTTTTCAAGTTTTTTTATACATTTTTTTCAAATTAACGATCAGATTAGATCATTAAAAGTTCAATTAGGATTGAATAGAGTGAAATTCAGGCTTTCGGGTTGAAAATAAAAAATCAATGAATATTATTTCGTTTAATTGAGACAAAAAATGAGGTATACATTAAATATTAATCTGCAATTTCAAAGTAATTTCTTCTTGGAAAATGGAATTCATCACATTTGTTTTTTTGCTATCAATGCACTATTGATTGGAAATTGTCATACTATTACATAATCTTTCATTTCAGCGATAATCAAAGATTAAGATCAAATTGATGATAAATGGTACATATGGAATACACTACATATTTCATTGTTTTATCTCCACGGTTTATACGGCGTAATTGAATAACTAGGTACGAAAGTAAATTTTCCATAAAAAAAAAACAAAGTGTAAATAATAAGTTTTTTTTTTTATCATGAATAAGTTACAACGGCGAGATCTTAGATACTCATTAAAATCAATTTGACAAATTAAATTTATTCAGTCTAGACGCATTACGCATTTGTAATAACTGGGTTTTTTTTTTGTTTAATATAATGCATAATTTATGTCAGAGAACGGAATTACGTGTGAATCATCACTTTTTCATTTTCTTTTTCGTTTCGATTCTAAAATTTAATCGATCAAACTCTAATACGCAATTATCTAAATTACATTAATGCGACATAATATATACACGTACGTATACACAACTTGTTTTTTGTTACTTTTTTTTCTTCCGTTCTGCTTTTCTTTGTTATTATCAATCAATAAACATGCTTACATTCACACTTTTTTTTCAAGTAAAATACAATTGCACAGAGTTTTAAATATCTAATTGGTTTGGTCACACTTCCATTTATTTTTCGATTTCATTCAAGAACACGAACTTTTATCGTTCTTCGTTTTTATCGTGCTCAACATTTTTTTCAATTATGTAGCGAACATGTGGAGAATGGGAGATGAGTTGAAGACTTTCGTAATTAACGTCACAACTGTAAAATATCGAGAAAATTTCATTTTCTCTTTTAACTTGACAAGTATTCCTCTTAACAATCTGAAAAGGAAAAAAATTTGTCTATTTATTAATAAATTTTTAGATTTTTTCTTCTCATCTCTTGTTCTCCACTTTTCGACTCATCACAATTTTGTTTTCCCCTGAAAGAATATTGGCTGGCATTGCCTGTGGCGCTCTGAATAAATTTTGCTATTGAATATCATCAAATTGAACATTCGATGGAGAAAAAAAAATATATAACGTAGGCCAACACTAGAAGAGAGGCGGGAGTTTCCTTGATTCTCCAAATCGCTTCCCAATATGTACATGATAAAAAAACAGTTGGCAATTCAGTTGATTTTTCTCCTCACTTTACCTTTTGTCTTCATGTCATCCTCATTTCCTTTTACAAACTAAAATATTTACAAATTCTGCTTTCCAAACATGATGTATACATGAACATAGGGCATTTCGACAATCATCGTTCGATAATACGGGATGTAATGGTTAATTAATCTGTTTAATTCCCGAGAATATTATCCACTGTCATTATTAAGTTTGAATGAATGAAATAATTGAGAATAAAAAATGGAATAATTTATGAGAACAAAAATAACACAATACAATAATAACATAGACTTCCTTGTCTTAACACGAAGTCGAGATAATAACTACGAATAATATAGGAAGCAAAAAGAGAATACATCGATGAACGTGAATTTACAACTCAAGTCGAAGGCGACGATTGTAATTGCATCCGTCAACAAATGTCTGCATTTAGTACTGTACAGTATTTTATATTCACCCACAACGAGAAAAAAAAATGATAAAATTGCACGTCAATAAAAAATCAATCCTCGCATCTTCTCACACTAATTGACGAACTGCCCAACGTATAATTATCAATAATTCTTATCCTGTTGGGGACTTTCACCCCTCGAGTGATGCTCAATCACAAACTATATTTCACCTATCGTAATGGCAGTGACTTGAAAACATAACGAACCCATATGTCATATATTTGCATTGAACTTGGAATAAATTACCGTTTCCTCTAATGAACGGTACAACACGCACACAAATTATCCAATTGGACACGAACAAGCGAGAAACTAAATTAGTGATAACCAAAATAATGATCCCCTAATGTAACACGTTCTATACAAATATTTCCTCACCTGGCAAAGTATTTTAAAATAAATTGGAAGAAACGTCAATAACTGTTCACACTTCAACATGGCTATTATTAAAGTATTCTACTACATCTAGGCGATAATATTTAGATTGGTCCAATATTAATGATGCCATCTGTTATATTTTTTTCAATATTTTATCATTTTTTTGTGGCCAACAAATAAACCCTAAACACCTCGCAATTGGGCCTACATTTACACGGATATATATTACCAAGCACAGTCCCTGCTGACCAGTTTTCCCCACTAATTACTAAGTATTACTTGTCAAAATATATGTAACAGCCATTTTTTTGCAATTTCTCTTACGTAGAAATTCTTCATCCTAGAGATTATTTTGAAGGAAATTATAAAAGTGTCATGCATTGAGTCGATTGAACTGCAAAGAGAGCTGTATTCATGGAACAGAGCAAAATATATTTCAATTTTCAGCAGATGACTGGCGAGAAAATGCATTAAAATCAGAATTCATGAGATCGTGTCACGGATTATATTATTATCTTGGCATTGAGTGACTCTCAAGTGTCATAGGTTTTTTGAAAAAAGTTTCATGATGTGTTATCCGGAGACCAATCGATTATTTCAAAAAATGTTGTGTTGATGTAACGAAAAGACCCTTCATTGCTCATTATTTATAATGTAAATTTTTAATCAGTTTTTGAAATGATAAATATCTGAAATATTTTTGGAAGACTCGGATCGGAGGAATTTACTGACGTTTTGAAAATCCTTGAAATTTTCATCGCCACAAAAAATTTGTATAACTTTTTCATCTAAAAAAATCAATTAGTCAATCAATCAATCAATTAATTAAAAAATCAAAAATAATCAGTTCAAGCAATTACAAATTTGATACAGTAGAATTCCGTTATAGTCGCTCTGGTTCAGTCGCACTTTTCCTCAATTTGTATTTTCGCGTATCGGTTTACTCTACTACCCCTGGGTTACAACATGTAAACAATCCATTGTTCCGTCCTGTGAGGAATTAAATTCCAAACAAAGTAAAGCCGAAAGCAATAATCCTCTGGTACTCGAATCCTCCAAATTCCCTTCTCCTACAGATCAACCATTTAACTAAAAATGTTAATCACTCATTACCAAGATAATTATTAATCCCTGAATTTTAAATGTTTCCACTCCCAACAAAAAATGCAGAAATTCCCTTAGAATTTTCTCCACACAAATAGATCTCTGAGAAAAAAAATTAAATTTCAAAATAACCAGAGCGAAATGTTTTAATCTCTTTTTTCCAATCCTTCAGAATCTTACGACACACTCACCAGAAAGACTTAGAAATGGTTTTACAACTTGGCAACAATTTCCTCCAGTCGATGTTTCCGCTGGTTATTCCCTCATGAGAAGGCATCCTCGATGAATTTTTACGTATCTCAAATGAATCTCGGTAAACCGGTGGTAGAACGGTGATAAATGTACGGTGGTGGTGGGTGTCCAGGGAAATGTCTCTGGCGTTGATGTGGAAGGAGTGGATGATGAGGTGCCAAGCTGTTAACAGAGCCCTGTGCATGCTGCAGAAGATGAGAGGCACCATCCCCAAGGTCCAACTCCAACTCCTGCTGTTCCACCAGTTGAAGAGCACCGAACGATGCCGTTGCCATGGCCACGTCCGGCATTATTCCAGATAAGTGCCCATCGCCGCAAGGATTATTATCCTGCTGCTAATAAAATGGTGAAACAATGGTCAGTTCAGGGTGAAATGGGATAATTCAAACGATTGAGAAAGCACATGGAGCTAGGTCATTTATAGCTACACTATAATTTTGTGAAAGGTCAGCTGTGATAAAATGACAAATTAGTTTAACACTGAGTTTACAGTTGACCATTGATACTGAATTTGAAGGTGATGCAGTCGAATTATTCCATTTTATATCCATTTTGGATTTAGAAAATGTTTGAATATTTTAAAGTACTAAAATGCTGACTCGGAGAAGTCGCGGCGGGCCATTTAAATTTAAAACCGATAAAATCGAATCACGCATCGACTCTGCTGGTCCATTAGAGAAGATTGAATAATAGTAATGCTTTCAAAAATGACGGCACGTCACATAATGGAATTTTATGAGGTGGACACGGGTATTGGAGAACTAAAGAGATTTTTTTTTTATTCAAACCGGAAAAAAAACTGATAAGTAATTGATATTTTCCTTATAGATTATCAATTCTTTCATAATCTCAGACTAATCGTTGTAATATTTAGTGACCGAAATCTACAGATCGTTTTTTCACAGAATAAATAAAAACAACAAATAAAACAAATAAAAACAGTTTCATTTTAATCTCATTAGTGAGCATTAATTTTTAATTTTTAATTAGCCACTCAATTGTCATAATTCAGCAGTGGAGAGGGAAAACTAGTTTAATCGACTTTGAGACAACTTCAGGTTTTGCGCAATATCTGACAATTTATCGGATGCACGAAGGAAAAAATAGTAGAAAAGTACCACGGAAACGTAAAAATGAGTCATGACTGACTTTCAAGGAAGTATTAGTAAAAATTCAGTGCTCTTCTGCCAATTCAATGAATTAATTCAACAAACGAATGTAAACACTATAATATCTTCCCCCCATTCAACGAGAGGATGAGATCAATTTCCAGAATTACAAATTGATTTGCTCGGGTGTGTTTGGATGAAGTAAATTATTAATTAAAGTATTGGATGAATTTGTGACTAAAAATTGCCACAAGGTCTTGTGGAATCTATTCAATTTATCATAGATTATTCACCTCTCCCTGGTGTCTGTAATTCTCCCCTTCGGTTACAACAGCCGGAAGTTCGTGCCTGAGACCATACGATGAATTTGGCCGAGGGAAGGTCATATTCCTCCCATAGCAGACGTTCACCGTTGCACTCGTACTGACACTCATGTTCCCCGGGCTAACTGCCTCCATGTTCTCCATTCCTGTCATATTTTCGTCCTGCTCCACGTTTCCATAGAACGCAGCATTCTACCACGCATGAAACAAGTCATTAAAACATCAAATGTCCACAAACCTAAATGCTTCAATATAATAATTTATTAAATCTAAAGATCTGTGGAATTAGAATCGCCCCAGGGTGTCAAGAGTAAATCTCCAAGTGGTGGTGATTAAAAAAACCTATCGAACAAATAACTCTTGACAAGACCTGTCTCCATTTTTCACATTATTTTTATAATTACTGCTAGTTATTGCTATTTACTCATTACATTTTTGCTGTAATACTCGTCGAAACCGGCACAGCTCATTTTTCAAGATAAGGTTATTGCAGAATAACGATTAATTGCTGATTAATCGTCTGGAGTTTTTTTTAAGAAAATTGAGGGATTGTTCTTCTTTTTTTTTTTAATGGAGTAGACTCAGATGTCTAATCAAGGGAAAATGGGGTAGGAAGGGGAATAGGCATAAACGTCTCCGGGGAAGGAGAACAGGGGGTCCAAAGTCAAACTCATACTGTGTGAACCTCAGTTGTTGCTGAATCGTCTGACTGACCTGGTGGACTACTCAAGAGTTCTACTTGTTGCTGGTGATCACAATCTATTTCAAGCGCTGGTAATTCGCTTGGTCTTGCGAGAATTCCGGACACATCTGTGGTAAATAGCGTGACCTTTATTCCACTTAATTCTTATCATTTTCGCTTCCGATCATTCGGTACTCTTTCCCATTTTTAATATCATACAGAGGAACAATTTTATCTGGTACATTCCAAAGTTTAATGCAGATTCACGAAAATTTCTACAAATTGCAGTAATTATTTCTCTCAAATTGTAACATCTCTCGAATCAAATTCCAATCATTTCCTATTCTTTGAGCTCAAGATATTTCAGAATTTCCATTTGATATGACACCAAGCGTACCGGAAAATTCTCTCATGGACAATTTATAATAAATGTATATAGAAAAAATTTTCCGGAATTTAATATCAATTAAGAATGCTCTTTAATGATATTGAAAATTTTTTTTAGATAAAATGATGATCGAAAAAATTGCAATTCATGGAATGTACAGATAAATTTAGAAAGAAGTTAAACAACATTCGATGAATAATAGAATCGGACCTCAAATGAATAGATACTTGTACATATGTGTTACATTGTCCCTATCACGAGTGGAAAAAAATAACAATTCCTTATCAATGGAAGCAATTTAGATATGACACGTATCAATTTTTCGTTTCTCTTCAATGACGAAAAATCATGGATAAGGACGACTAATTCAATAATGCTCGGACCAAGAATAATTTCCATAAATAATATACATTTCAGTAGACACTACGCAAAGAACTGCAGCTCAACACAAATTCATGTTAATTATGCAATGCAGATATTGTTCAACGTCCACTTCGATTAATCCGCACAATTATCCATTACAATATCTGTCAATGACTAATTGATATGCACATCGCGAACGCGAAACTTCATTGTTTGTAATTCCCTCATTGTCTCGGTGATTACAATAATACGCACCAGATATTCTCTATGACGAGAAAAAATATTACGAAAATATTGCGACGAAAAAGCTTTTTGAAGGCACTAAAAATGCTGATGAAAACGCATTCCGACTGATAAGTAATTTTAGTATGCAATTCAAGGACAACGAAAAGTAATGAGCATTCGTCAGCTAGCGTTTGACATATCCGTTTGTTACCGAAGCTGCAATTGAAACTATATAAACCAGTTATTCCGGAGACTACGGAAAAAAAAACACGGAAGTGAAGAAGAAACAAGAAACCTAGATGATTAATGCCCCATTGATGCACGTGAATGCAAGTCAGGCGACAGCATGAGACAATTTATTGGACCTCATTGTTTTTAATTCAATACTGAAGTAACGTAATACGCCAATTTCGGTATTTTGATGGATGTCTATAATCTCGGGAACGACAGATGTTAGAAAAGAATGTCATTCTTCTCTACTGATAATAATTTTAAAAATCCCTTTTCAAATTTCTTTTTTTCTTCTCACGCTATTCCATTAACACATTTCTCAATTTCGTAATTAATTTTATAATACAATCGATACACTACGCCAGAAATGAAATTTATAGAATTATATAATTAAAAATATCAATCCCAAATCCCAAATGAACATCAATCGTGATTTCAGAGATGCCAACCAGCGATGACAAGCTCCCAGTGGAGGACCTCAAAGGGTTGCTGTCCCTGAAATTCGGAAATGAAATTGAAATACTCGAGACAACCTGGAAGAACCTGACAGATCCTGGTGAGAATTTCGGGAGTCTGATCCTTGCAGTGAACGTAGTTTTCACAAAGAACTCGTCAAAAAGATTGCTGCACACAGTTGTAAAACTCCCTCCGCCATCAGCCTATCTGGTCCAGCTCTTCAACTCACCAGCAACCTTCAGTAAAGAGCTCGTCTTCTATCGAGACGTAACCCCAGTGTTTCTACAACTCCAAAAAGACAACGGCATCATCGACGCCGAATCCACATGGCTGGGGCCTGAGTACTACGGTGGACGCCTGGGACTGAAGTCCGAGTTCGACAATCAGGCGTGCATTGTCTTGGAGAATTTAAACTACTCGGGCTACAAAATGATCGATCGCCTAGAAGGCCTCACCCGGGATCAAACAGAATACGCAGTAAAACAACTCGCTAAACTCCATGCAATTACGATTGCAACAAGAATTCAGAAGCCAAAAATATTTGAGAATGTGGTGATGCCAGCACTGGAGAATGCAGCGAACGACGAAGCTGTCTCGTGCGTGATGGATATGATAAAGAAAGCGGTCTCTGATCTGGGAAATATTCCAGATGCCAAGGCAGACATGGACGACGTCCACAGAACCATCGAGAGAATGATGGAGCTGGAGGAATCCATGGAGAAGGATGATAATTGGTTTACATTCGTTCACAGCGATTTTTGGGGGAACAATATGATGTTCAAGTTCAAAGAGAACTCCCAGGAGATCGTTGACATGAAGATTGTCGATTTTCAATTAGGTAATTACGATTATGGTGTGAAGGATCTGATTTTCTTCCTCATCTCCAGTCCCAGAATTGAGTTGGCAGAGGCGATGTTCGATGACATGGTGGAGCTGTATTACCAGTCGTTTGTCGAGTCTTTGAGGAGATTAAATGTAGATGCGAGCAAGTTTACGAGGGAGAAGCTATTGAGGCTGCTTGATATGTGTGGACCATTGAAATTGGCACAGTGTCTCGCCATGACGCAGGTTATTAAGTCGGTTCCTGGGTCAGTGCCGAAGATCGAGACCATTGATAATAAAGAAAATTTTCTACAGATCGGAGATGGAGAGGCCTACAGGGATAAATTACTGCAAGTCATGCAGATTTTTAAGAAACGTCGATGGCTTCTCACCACGTAAATCAATTAATCCAGATGTTTGGCAGATTGTCTTTGCAATTCAATAATGAGCAGGTGATAGAGGACAATGGGGACTCGTTTTTCCGCAGTCATTGACTCAGGGCTGGGTGGAGTGAGAAATTGATGACGAAAAATTATAGCCTGTTACAAAGAAGGGAAAGTTCATGTTCGGCGGGGAGTAAACAATTCCATTCCATTGGTAATTCAGAGAGTTATTGCTATTCAGAAAAAAATATGGAAAGTATCTATTTTATTTCACTGTCCTTTGTGCTTTGGGTTATATTGTATTGGTGATTAATATAAATAGTTTTTACCTCGAGGAGATCAGCAACAGCGTCTGGTAGATTAAACTCACGTACAACTCGTAATCTCACTTGTCTGTTTATTTCGTGACGACAAGATAGGGGTAAAGTCACAGCCCGCTGACAGCTCGGTGACTGCCTGAGTTTTTGTTCGCGTTTCAGCATCGCAGACATTGTCATTGCGTCTGGAACTGGATTTCATATTTTTAATATACTTCGAAGAAATTCTCGAGCCATGACGAAATTTATTCAACGAATCAATGAAAAAAAAAAGTGAAAGCAATGTGTCATTTGAGCACTCTGTTCAATTAAATTTTATATGAAATATTACGGAAAATCCTGTCTAAATGTGTAAATGAGTTTTAACCGATTAAATCTACTAATTGATTTTGACGAAATTAATTGGGTTAAAAAATATATTGCACGCGGTCTTCAGTGGAAAAAGTTCCAATTCGAATTTTTACTTCGGAACTCACTCTTTTCAATTAAAATAATGTAATGAATATCGGTAAAACCTTAAAAACACATCGAAAACAAAAAATAGACAAAATCCATAAATGAAAAAAAATTGTATCAATAGGTTATCATGCAGTATCATGTGGGTATCATTTGAAAAGATAGCGAACTATAAATTGATACCCTCGTGAATTTCTGAATACATGCGTTACTAAAATATTCAAAAGAACAAGATTATAAAGCCAGTAATGACTACATGATTTTGCGAAATATTTTCCATAGAAGTGTAGAAATCGTTTTCTAGTTCGTAAGAATTGTTATAAATATTTTGTAGACAGAGATTAACGTAAATAAAGTAATTAAAATGTTGTAAAGTACCAGGAAGTGCAGCAGCAAGTACGTCCACGCCAACTGCACCCATAGACCTTGGTTTCTCATCGACCATATAAAGTGTGTCTGGTATGTCGGGAATGTATCGGGCTCTTCGCAGTCTCACTAGTTCCGCTTCTTGAATCATTTGCTCTTCGACTAGACTCTGAAAATTTGAAGAACGCTATATGAGAATTATTTCCAGTTCAAGAATTGCCGCCACTAAAAATGTTTAACGTTTAACTTTTGACAAATCCATTTTACAATGAATATAAAATTATTCTTCAACTAATTGCACCAATAAATTACTCGATCGTAATTAACGGTCTAAATGCCTCGAAAATAAGTTATTTCCCGGTAACAGTCGAGGGCTCTTATCCACCTGTAGCTTTACAGCAAATATAATCGGTAATTACTGGAAATTCCAGAACTAAGCTATTCAATAAACTGCCAAATATGGGATCCCCCTATTCAAATGGTTTCAATCAACGACTTTACGATTAAAATGTATTTTTACCTTAATTTCCTCGTAATAGGGCATAAATAAACGAGGCCGTACAAATAGGCCATTCCTCTTTCCACCACGTATCCACGCATTGATCCTCATATTTTCCCTCTCATCACCGATCATGTGGCTGGGGGGCGTTGAAACGAGACCTCGACGTATTGCCTGCAGCATTAAATTATACAAATAATTTAGAGCCTCTGCAATGATTCCCAGGCATTAAAACAATCACCGATGAACTAATGAGGCATTGGATGCGTCATTAGGAAGTAACCGAAAAATTATTTTCAATTTCTAAAATAAATATTCCAGATAATGTTTTACTCAGGATTTACGAATGTTATCAATATTAATATTCTTAAATCCTCAGTATTTAGTACACAACTGTGTATTTAAAAATAATTCAAGTATTAAAGTGAATTACCTGCAGTAAAATTTCACTGTTGGGTGGCAATACATGATCCATCCTGACGAGTGGTAGAAGTTCACTAAGAATTTCTCGCAGCTCGATGTCACTGAGATCTCGTTTTTTCACCCCCTTACGTGCCACCGAGTGGACGGTGTGACTGAGTAAATTCGGCTCACGATCCTCCATTCTACGGACTAATTCGTGTTCACCCCATTTGAGAACAGCTTGAAGTACTTCTAATTCACTTGCCTGGAGAAAGTGACTCTGGAGTGCATGAACGAGATGACTGTGATCAAGCTGGTAGAGGACCGAGGTGGAAGCTATCGTTTGGAATTCCTCCCTGAGGAAGTGAAGGGCTTGTCTGTGAACCCATGCTGAACCGTGGGGCTGACTTCCCCATCTCAGAACAATCGGCAGTGATTCGTGCGTAAGCCACTCGAGAATGAGATCCTCACAGCCCTGTGACAGAATATCGAGCTCCAAAAATCGGCCAATCTGATATAGCTCCATGGCCTCCTCAAGGGGACTAGGTCTCATTCTGCCAGTGTGCGTAAGTGCCTGGACTTCTCCAAGACTCCCGGCGGAGCTACCACAACCACTTCCCCTCAGAATCAACGATAGATCAACAGTATCGAGATAAACAGCGTGCAGCAAAACCCTTGCATATCTCTTGGGTATAACTGACTCATCAAGAACAATTCTCGTGGGTATATGGAGTGCCCTCTCAGTGTGATCCTCACCAGATCTCGTTCTTCTCTGTATCAAGTTCCTGAAGAATGTTGATCTAGCCGATAGTATGGCCTTGTGACACGGCAGCTCTAATTTTGGCCTGAATCCATACTCGGAGCTTCCACTGTCAGGCCTTTGGTAGTCACCATCGGACGTAAAGACTAAAGCAGCATCAGCATAGTCACCAGTATCGAGTAAGTATCTGAGATCGTGCTCGAGGAGATTGGGTGTTCCAAACTCCTCCCCGAGACGTCTCAATAAATTGCCATCGAGGGAGGAGTCGTGTGTACAAATATCACCAGTATAAAGATAACGGAGTAGAGCTGAGAACATGTGCACTTCTAAATTCGGTGTTCTCAACTCGAGGCATATTCTCGCACCGTAACCAGGACATCCAGCCAATAATTCCCTGAAGTATGGACATCTTGCTGAAAGTAGGGCCCTGTGCACTGGAAAACATGCACCACGATACACTAGATCGACGTCTGTGCAGTGCTTGTAGTCGTAGAGAGTGGATAAATCCTGTTTGAAAGTTGTCGCTGGAGGTCTAGCTAGCTCTGCCTGTACATGGAGATCTTTGAGAGCTGCCAGGGCTTCGTATTCCTCTAGGAGTGCACTTGCCTCGAGTGGACTCCAGGTTGATACTAGTTCCCTTATAACACGACCGTGGTCACAGGCTTTCGACGTTCTCCGACGACGAATGAATTTTTTGCGAAGGGTTGCAAAGCCTGTTACCTTCTTTTTGCGCTCTCTGTAATTAGAATCAAGCATTTGTGGATGAGTTGTTTTGAATCGGAGGGTTTTCTTTGATGAAAAGAACGTTGAAGCCCGAGGGAGGCTCGATGGAGGACAAGGGTGGCTAAAAAAGAAAGGGAAGTAGTCTTGTGATGTTTACTAGACGTGTGAAACCGTCGGTCATTGTTAAACAACTTCTGAGGGGTTTAGAGGTTCTGCATTTGCATTTGCTTCTTTTTCCTTCTTTTTATTGTATGCCAGTTCGTTCGGATGGTTTAGAAAGTACGCTCGGATTTTTTTTTCTACCTTCCACTTGGACAAATTGCATGGAATTCACGGGAGGTGTTGTGGGGAAAGTAATTAAGGGGATGAGGGAACAAAATTGTGACAGCATCGATTGAAGTTGAGTAGAGTACAGGGGAAAATTTTGAAAATTGAAGACATTTTGAGAAATTGCATCACTCATTTTTTTGTCTTTTTTCTTGAGTTGGGATTTTTAGTGAAGTTCATAAAACTTCCTTTATTCTGTTAATGGGGTGTCAAATAAAATAATACCTTGCACCGATGCTGAATTGATCAACATTGCCGGAAGACGACAGCCTTGCTGCTTGAATGGGATCACCCCCGATGGCAGCAAGGTTAGATGAGGCAGATGCTCCCATTCTTTGTGTCATACGTGTATCATTATCAATCCTCCTGGTGACCGACACAGCCCAGCAACCGTTCTCCAGGGTTTCACCACTTTCTTCTCCACGCGGCAATGCACACGGTATCAACAATCGAAATACGTTCATCTCTCACCCAGACACCAGCCTGAAAAAATTTTACAAATCATTCATTAAATAAATATATACATAAAAGCCTAAAAGTTTATTATTACATCATAATACTTTATTCATATATAAATATATGAACAAAATAGATTTTTTACAACTTTTTAAAATACAGTTAAAAAAATATTTAAAATACAAAATTCATGTCTTCAGATTGTTGAACAGATAATTTAATCTGTGGATTAATCATTGCTTTAATAATTTCCCTCGTCGAGAGATTGAGAAGATTGAAAGATAGCAATTAACATCCTACTTTCCATATTATAATTTATACCTTCGAAGCGTGTGAGACTTTACCAACTAAAAAACTGGATGTAACATACAAAATTAATTTCTGGATCATAGCAATAATTTCTTGAACTCCAAAACAATATTCCTAATCACACATTCCCGAAATCCTTCGCACACTGCAGTACATCTGAAATAAGTAGGTCACGGTCGACTTAAGGGATTAAGGGGTCAGTGCAATGGGTGAATTATAATGTCGAAAAAAAAATCCACCAATAGTTATTATTGATAAAAAAAAAACGGTGAGAAGGTGCAGACAACACGTATTTACCCAGCGAATGTCAAAACAAATATAACTGTTACAACTGACAGATTATGTAAATTCCATGGGTAAAACACTCCCCACTAGATTCTAATCAATTATTAATGGATCAATCATAATTACCTGGGTCCCTACAGCACATATTTTTTCGTATCCAAATTAATCAACTCCAGATGACGTTCACGAGTTATTGTCACATACAAACAATTGCTGAACAACACACAGTCGGCCATGTTTATATTCGAATGCATCGGTGGCCCAAATAAAACCACAAGAGTGCATTATAAATACAATTATCCCCTTATTATCCTCTAAGGTGGATAAGCACAAATTTTGCCAACTGAACTTTCACTAATTGTTGCAATTACCCTAGTACATGTTCATTGTATTTTTTTGCATTCTGATCCACAAAATGTTGATTCTCTCGACAGGATTATCCTTATGGACTCAACTAAACACTTGAGGGAATCAATTAGTTGGGGTAAATGCAGTAATAGCAAATGCCACTGATTAGTTCATTACACTCGAGTGATTGGAGTCGTATTGCGGGATGTGTAGGTGTGTTTCGTGATTTATCACCGATTTTTCGGAGCTGCATATTGAAAATAGAGTGCACACAGCCATCTACAGTGCAGTCTGACTGGTAGCTAACCTAAAATCACCAAATCAAGGTGGTGGTGGAGTTGGTGGTTGTGCATTGGTGTGAGGGAGCAATGCTTCCAACCCTCAAGAGGCAAATGCCCATTTTCACATCTTCGAGGGATGTTCGGGGTGCTACAATGCGCACCCTGACTATTTTATTCAAAACCACAAAAACTGCCTGCAAAAAAATCCTTTGCAGAAGCGCATTTGTGAATTTCCAAGTCACTAAACTTCAACTTCATTGAATAATATATTGAAAATTTTATATTACGCAAACATAGCATATATCGTAAATGAGAGGTTGAAAAAAAAAGTTATTATGAGAAGACATTTTATTACACAAAATGGGATGTTTTGTATTTTTTTTATTTCATTATTCTGTAGGGAAATACCGGGTGTTAAAGGTTTTTAATGATTTGTTCTTAAATTCTGGTTTTCTTCATTATATTTATTATATTCTTTATATTTATCGTACAGATACACGTTTGAACGAAAAAGCAACGAGAATGCGCAGTCGGTGCAACCAGCGTTGTACTGTGCAGTTCTCTATTTTTGGAATGAGTCCAACGTAATTCAGTTGGAATATCGACATAATTGTATGACTCTGGAAAAAATTATAAGAATAAATCCTGCAGAGTTTTCGATTGTGAATGTAGATCTTCCAGGGCTGCTGTGCTTGAAGTGAAGTCTCACAGTTGATTTCAGAGTTATCGAATCATCGAGTTTATTTTCCGGAAGTGAAGCACTCCTCTGCCCTCAAGACGTCCAAGACCCCCTGGATCGAATTTTCTCGTCAGTTTTTCTTGATATCTGGTGCATCAGGATGTTGGCGATTCATAATGCAGTGAGAAGTGGACTCTATCTGAGTCGACAAGCTGGACAATGCAGGACAGCCATGGCAACACGTCCCAGGACGAATATTTCATTTGCTGTAAGTTATCCATTATTTTTTCATGTGAATTTTTTCGTGTTATGTAATCCGAGTAATTGTGTACAAACGACAAATTTAGATTGACAATTTTTCCAGTTCTCGTTGATCACTTCATTTTTCCTTTCATTTTTAAACAATACTTTTATTTTTTTGTCTTCATCTGGGAGCAATAGTAGAAACTAAAGTGCCTGCAACAGAAAAATAGTTATTGAACGTAATTATTTATTTTCCATTTCATTTTTTAAAGACATAAATCATGTATAACATTTTTTATTGTATATCAAATAATTCCTGGAAGAATGAATAATTGTTTAATTTTTCATTAGAGTATTTCACTTCAATAATAACTTCAATTAAATTACAGGAGTCAGTTATAATTTCTCGTGCAAAGAATGCATGGTCTTTCGAAAAAAAAATCCCAAGATATTATTAATTTTTTAAATCTTTGCTATAAACGTCGATAAAAAAAGAGCGATATTTTTCAAATTTTCAGGAAAAAGTTGCACATGGAATCGCACTGTTTGTTGGCATCCTCGGCACCCCAGCCTATATCGCATGTCATTTCCAAAAGTACGGTGGTGCAAAATCATAAATTACAGCAGCAGATCTAGATACTCGTCTAATCTATATAATTCCTACGCAAATTATTAATTTAAATGTCAACGATATGAAGAATGCAATGTTATTGATTCAAATTCGGTTGTAGAACTAAGGGATTAAATCTCTTACATGTATTTCTAGTGGACAGTCTTTTCATTCTACTCCAACTCATAATAACTGAACCTTCAATTTTACTCCATAGAGCAGGTGACACTTAGAAACAAATACTAAATGAATCAGCCAGTTGACAACAAGCCTTTTGCATAATCAAAGTAGCTTCCAATCGCGAACGGCACTAAAAAATTCTCGAGAAATTTTCCTATCTGGGATCAGATAAACATTTTCAATTTCACGTTGAATAAAATTTTCTCGACGACCCGGTGTGCTTTATAGCCAAGAAATATTGTCGCAGCGATAAGGCTTCCACTCCTTTTTACCTTTTCTCGATGAAAATGCAAAATATATCCAGCACATGCCAACACATGACAGTCACTACAGGTACATACAATTTGCGTCGTGCGCAAAGGAAAAAAAATGCGCTGTTGTCGGGTTTCCTCATCATCATTGAAAAGTGGAATTCGCCATCTAGAGCTTGTCTAGCTGGAGAAACCCTTGGAGAACATCGGAGTGAAATATTGGAGATTTTCATAAACACCTGAGAGAAGAGAAAGATGTTCGTCACTGGATTGAAAATTGCAAGAGGTTCTGCTGCAGTTAATCAGCAAACTGTCAGAACTCTTAGCAGTATAGTCACCAAACCTCGCGCTCGCGTATCTTTCTTCGTGAGTATTCAATCACATCAGGTGTTCGAATCTAGGAAAAAACAGATGAAAGCAGAACAAGGTTGAGGGTTCGACGTGTCATTGTTGCCTTCAACACTATTTGGATATTTTGCCTTTTGTTCATCTGTTTTTTACCCAGAATCTATATAACTTTTTTTATCCAGAAATCCTCATATTTCAGGTTAGGATTTCATGGCGGTTTAATCTGTTTCATCTGTTTATTATGTAATAATTTCAATTATTTTTCGGATAAAAATTCACATGATATACTTGCATTCATCGACTGCAATTATTTTTCAATTAAATATGATAATCAAATTAATTTAGGGTAATTAGATAACATAAGAAACATTATTCAAAGTCATGTTTTACTTTATGCTGTTTTCATTGAAATTCTGCAATCTAATCCAAGTTTAATGTGATCTTGGAAATCGGTGAAAAAAATCTCGAGATCCCCAAGTTTCTATTGTTTGGTTAACAATTGATTGAACTGATTGACAAAAGTCTGGGGAGGCCTAGATTTGTAAAGAGAAGCATGAAATTGGGGCTGAAATTGACCTCTTATGTGCAATCATTGCCATTTTAAGATGAAGCGACATGCATGCAAGGAACTTGATTATTTCTTGGAACATTTGATGGACTAGATCTGTGAAATTGCCTCGAAGTGCACTTCTTCCTGTTTCAACAGATTTTCAGACAAATTTTCCATTTATAATCTCAGAGAATAGACGGTAGAATTTCAAGAGGATTCGGTACTCATAATAATTTTTAAATAGTGAGTTAATATAGTTTAGATCTGAGAATCACGTTGAGATGAAACTCATGAACTCTCTCGAGCTTATGAATTTTCATTGAAGAAAATTGTGAAGTTTGGGAATGTTTTAAGTGGATGAACTTAACGCCTGCCAAGGTGTTGGGAAAGAATTTCAAATGAGTACAAGTTCTGAAGAACTTGAGAGACATTCATGCCCACTTCACTCTTTCTAATATCTATGAAATTAACAGTTCATAAAATTAATATCAACCTGTCTTTGTGTAAAAAAAAATACCAATGACCCTTTCCCTTCGGGTACTGCTCGGATTGATTTCATAAGAGAAAATAATAATTATTGGAATCAGTTGTGTCTAGTGACACGAATATCAATGAATTTCCAATATTTCTCTATTAAATTTAATTATTTGTTTAATTCTCAATATTAAAACTAAAAACCGAGAAATTTTACTCGATTATCCTAGAGTTATTGATTAATACGGGTCTATTTTTTCAGTTATTATTGCGTGTTATTTAGAGCGATAACATTTTTTTTTAATAAAAGAGAATATGCTGCAAATATTTTGACGCATGCACGTAGTTGAGATTGTTATGCATGAAAAATCCTACAAATTTGATTGTTTGCTCCCGCTCATTCATTGGTTTTCAGTGACATTCCAAAAGTTCTATCTGGCTTTATCCAGACTTTTCTTGCACTGTGCATCCAATCGATATCGCATGTGTTCTCTCGTGTATTTTTAGTTTTGTCAACTGACAAGAGAAACAGATATTCGTCAAATATTATTTAACTCCTGGATTGGGTTTTTTTTCGAATTCATTGTACCTATTGAAAAAAGAATTATTGGAATTGATCGCCGACTTTTCCGGGGATTTACGCTCTTGAAAATATTTTTTTCAATAACTCTGGGAGATCGAGGATTCAGCAGTGAATGCGAGTAGAAAAGTTGAGCCTGAATAGACTCTAAATTCAGTCATCTATAGATACGAGTGATTTTCTAAGTTTCTACCATAAATTTTGAGCTTTTCATGCTTTAAAAATAAACTCTGCAAATGGAAGTATAAAATATTCTAGTTTAATTCGTAATATGAGGTAAATCTCATAATTAAATATGAAAAGTACTTATCCACCTGAAAAATGGAATTCAATCAGTGCGCCCACTCCATCATAAAATTTCCATTAGCGCCAGTGGGAAAAGTCTCTTTAAATAATTAATTCCTTTCAATAATATGAGCGAACATACATATTCGATAATCGATGCCTACGGTTTATCTTCCCCCATGTTCACCATAAAATTCAATGGATTTCTGTCAATACCAATATAATCTCACTGCACTTACGAAAATTTTACGACAACCAAACTGCCTCAAGCCAATCTAATCGCTGCAATCGATTGAAGAAATCCTCGAATAAAACAAATTATCAAAAAATTTGTTCCTCTTTGCAGCGAGAAATAGCGGAGATCATTCCCAAATTGAGGAAATGCTGAACATTCAAAAAGAATCTCTCTGTGACAATATTGAACAAGTGTTGAGATTGAGAATACAAAAAATTCAATTTCAACATGAAAGAGAACATCTGCTTTGCCATCCATTTTTTGGGATATTGCCAATAGTAAATGTTATGAAATGCAAAGTCCTTCATCTGTATTACTGACAACACTCGGTGAAAACTGGTTGTCTTAGAGCTTCCTCCAGTTTTCAATAGCTTCTCTTACAACTTGCAATATCGTAAAATTTTCTCACGTACGGAAATCCCTGTCTTCCCCTCCACTCGAGAGTGAATCCAAGCTTCTTGATTATTTTCCGATCCACACTGGAGAAATCTCTGCAACCCATCGAGTTCAGTTACCGATACTCGATTCAACGAATATACACGAAATAATTTAGCAGTGAAGAGATGAAATCTTATCTTGATAAATCAATCTCACTTTATGTTCACTTTCGGTGATGTGCCACTTGGTGCTGATAGTAGACAACAGTAAATAATCATTCGTTAATTCACTTTCTGCTGTAATTACAGGAAAAATGTGTGCATGGAGTGATAATGACAGTTGGCATCTTGGCAGTGCCATCATACATCGCCATAAACTTCAAGAAATACTCAGGACGAGCTGACTAGACCTGGGGACATTCCACTAGCCTTCAATTCTTCTTTAAAAATGTAAATGAAATTATTAAAATCAATCACAATCACTGAGATGTCAGGAGAGTCACCAGAAATTGGACGAATGAAGTACCAAAAATAGTCAATAAAGTGTGACTTGAAAAATCGGATTATCCTGTTTGTCATTCCAATTACCTAGGAGCCTCTCCACTGATAGCTATCCTATTCGCTGAAGGGACACCTCTGCATGCAAGAATAAATATCCAACACAGGGTACCACCGTTACACGATATCCGGAAAAAAAAACTTCGGCGATAGGGAATAAGACGAGGAGTGAGAGCCTGTATATTGGGTTTGGAGGGTTTTCGGTGGATAAAATGGGGGAACCGAGACGAGAGAAACCAAGACTTCAAGCTTGAAACTCTCAAAGTATAGTGAAGGGTATTCAATATACTACGACGGTAGCCCCTTGCCCTCGGTATCCTCATTCTATCGTCTGGGTTATTTACTTTTATAGTTGTATATAGCAGTATACCTTTACAGGATAGCTTTTAAGCCGAAAAGACGGTAAAGCGAAGGGAGAGAAAAAAGCATCGCGACGATCGAGTGTGACGTAAGAAAAGAGGATGTGATATCCTATTTTATTGAGTTCATACTGAAATTCGACTGTCATTACATTCACATTAGAAGGAAAAGAACAAATCGGAATTGAACAATTTTTCAGGAGAAATTAATTCCACGGATTTTTTACCAGAATTTAAGAATTTTTGGGGAGAAATTATTCCACAGACTTTATTTTGAATTTTGAAACCCTGGAACTAGGGGAATTTTAATGTAGACCCATTTTATTTCATTTGAATTCGACAATTCGGACGAGCGACATTCGATTTTGTTGGAATGTTTTTCAATAATATTCTCGATCATTTTTCGAGGATGCATTATTCATGCGAAGAAAGGGCCTGGAAGGTCTGAAATTTTCCTGAGGATATCGATGTATCCACAGACTCTGGGGATTGATAGAGTAAAAAGGAAAATGTAAGTAAATGATAACATTCGATTTAATTGAGTTTTATAAAAAAACTTACTTCATGGGAGATGCCGGAGTGAATAGATAGCCCATTAATTATTCCAATCTAAACGTTTAATATTAAAATAAATGGATAAATTGAATATTTAGAGATTAGTCATTGGAAATAGCGACAATCAATGAACTTATCAATGCTATTCGTTGATTATCGAATAATCGCGCAATTCTTCCGATTGGACATTTGATCATCAAATTTATTATGCAATTTATCAGCATTGTCATCTGGATTTCACGATGGCCATTAAACCCGTTATTGGAATCGTCACAGTGAATGAGTGAGAAATTCATCCGTACTGTTTTAGTGATAACACAAACGATGCCATTTATATTCTCCACATATCCACTCAATTTACTTTACCATCCGACAGACCGGGGATTCATATGCAGTATAATGCAGGTGAAAACTAAAAAACCGATTGAAAATTCTTCAACAATGTATTTTTATTTCAAAAGAGTGGACTTTTATCCACAGGCACAGGAAGTTGGATAAATGTGTTTACAGGGAATTCACCCTGAAATTCATTAAACAAGTGAAAACAATGAATGCAAAAGCGAATGTTCAAGACTAGTGAACCACTAACTGTATTTCACACGGATTTAATTCATAACACAAAACAATTGTGTAAAATGGATCAGCGAGTTTAAACTATACGGTTGTACGGATCAAAACAGAATAAATACTTTGAAGCGTGTGCAATGGATGACGAATTTTCGTAAATATTTCAACACTTGGAGTAATGATTAGGTGATAGGTATCTAGATAGATAATCAGCAAAGGAATATCGAAGAGAATTTACTCACGTGCTGTGTCATTCTGGTTTTAGTGACCAAAAAAATGTGCGTCGTCATCACGAAAGGGAACTCCTAGTGCTCGATGCAGAGGGTGGGTAAATAGAAACACCCTCGTCTCCATCGGGAAGAAAAAC